TAAACCCTACATCAGCGTCACTTCAGCTGGTTGGGCCAAATTAGAGGACGTCCTGAGATGGCCAAGAGTGCAGGCCCAGCACGCCACGGCAGGCGACCTCATGGAGGTCGTTCGGAGTAACGCAAAAGGCAGGTACGAGCTGGGCGATTGCCAAGGCCAGAAGTACATCAGGGCTCTGCAAGGACATTCTCGCTCTGATGTGGACTCCAATGAGGTGTTGGAGGAACTCACGGAGGAGATGCTCCCCAGAATGCTGTATCATGGCACATTCTGGTCCTTGTATGACTCCATACGCCAACGAGGCCTTCTGCCTCAGAACAAGATTTCCAAGGGCCGCGGCAAAGGCGGACGTGGCAGAGAGGGACGACAGCATGTTCACTTCGTCTCGGATCGGGACTATGGGAGACCTGGTGTTTCTGGATTCAGAGATAGCTCGTCGATGCTGGTAGCGGTCGATCCACGCAGAGCCATGCAGGTAGGGGTGCAATTTTTCCGCAAGAACGGCGTCATTCTCACCCCTTCCGAAGTGCCCCCTTCTGTCATAGAGTACTACCAGAGCCTGAAATCAGGTACTAAGTACGGAGGCGACAACAGGCCGCTCTGATCGTGAGGACCCTCACCTAATGGTGGAGTCCCTCCCCACACTGATAATGCAGCTGCTCACGCAAAAAATCTATGTTATGAGGCTGAAGGTCACTCCAATTTCATCACCAGACAGCAAGTATACCCCGAGGTCGCATGTGAAGCTCTGTGCGCAGTCGTGGGCCCGGATCTGCAAGTGAGTTGTCAGCCAAAAGTTTTCTGGAAGCTCTACTTGACTTCTCGTACAGGCTCAACTCACCAGCTGTCTCGACTGTAGAAGCCATGCCTGAAACACCGAAGAAGAGTGGCAGCAGAGCGACCTCCCGAACCCCTCCTCCAGTGCGACGTCGGCCCCACCTATCCAGGTCGCCGCCAGCCAGTGACGCCATTCGGGAGTCCGACTCCGAAGACACAGCGGCCCCTAAAGCAGCCCCTAAAGCAGCTGGGCCTAAGGGCCCGCCGCCTCCGATGCCTGTTAACCTGTCAGGAAGTGGATCTAGCACAGATCGGACACCGGGCCCAGGTAAGGCACCTGGAGTGCCAGTGAAAGGTGGAGTCCCGGGAGGAGTTTCTCCCCTGGGACCACCGCCAAAGGCTGTGACCTCAACGATCTCCCATCCAGGGACAGGAGAGCTTCATGTCACCAGCACAAGTCCGGCAGGAGTTGCTCCGCCATCTACAAATAGCAACAACGGGCTGGAAATGGCGCCTGGCCTGCCTTTACTGAGTGTTTCATTGCCTCACCGCCTCTACTATAACATAGAGCTAGTGGTTCGTACCGAGCCTTCACAGCGAGGCTAGACACTCTCGCGAGACAGCAGTGTGCAAAATGGACGTCGCCAATCAGTCAGCGATACATTGCAAATCAGCCGGTTAACTACTTCATTAGTGCCAGAGTCTGCAGCTCGAGTCACTGAAGACACGTCCGATTCCGACTTCATTGCTTGCAGCCTTGAGGGGCGGAGCGTGTGCGAGTGCTGTGTTAAGGCACGGCTCGTCATGAAGTGACCGCGCAAGTAGCAAGCAGAGCAGCAGGTCGATCCCTCGCAAAGCGTGGACGTTAAGTTTCACCTCAGACAGTATCCTCCCGCTGCGTGTGAATGAAATGTTGTTGTTGTTGGTGGTGGTGGTGGTGGTGGTGGTGGTGGTGGTGGTGGTGGTGTTGGTGTTGGTGTTGGTGTTGGTGTTGGTGTTGGTGTTGGTGTTGGTGTTGGTGTCGGTGTCGGTGTCGGTGTCGGTGTGGGTGTTGGTGTTGGTGTTGGTGTTGGTGTTGGTGTTGTTGTTGTTGTTGTTGTTGTTGTTGTTGTTGTTGTTGTTGTTGTTGTTGTTGTTGTTGTTGTTGTTGTTGTTGTTGTTGTTGTTGTTGTTGTCGTTGTTGTTGTTGTCGTTGTTGTTGTCGTTGTTGTTGTCGTTGTTGTTGTCGTTGTTGTTGTCGTTGTTGTTGTTGTGGTTTTCGGGGTTCGGGGTTTAGGGTTATGTAGGCTTCAGCTCGAGTTAGGCGTTATGGCTTCAGGGGTCAAGGGCTGCTTGACCCTGTGATTCACTTATCTTACACTGCAGCTTGTTTTTTCGTATGTTGCCATCGTACTTCGTGGTTGGTGTTCTAAACACACATGGTCCTATGGCTTTCGGATTCTATGCCCGAGGTGGCAAGTTTCCCTGTCTTTGCCTACCCATTTCGCTTATCATAGATTCAAGGCTCACTATATCGCTGTATTAAAATATATTTAAGTATTCCAGTGTGGCTACACTACACCACACCCTATAACGTAAATTCAGAACTGAGAATGCCAAACCATAGTCCCTGAACCTTAAGCCGTAGTGTGTGGTTTTGGGATTCCATGTGCCGATAGTTTATTCCCTCCTCTAACCCTACCCGAAACTCTACACCCGAAGCCCTGCACCCTGAAAGCCTCAATGCTGAAACGCAGCCCCAGTCGACCCGAGCCCCAAAACCTCATCAGAACTCAGGAATTCTTTCTGAATTGTAGTACTATACTATGAACACTCTTATGGTTATCTTAGGGTAAGGGCCAGGGTTTAGTGTTTGTTGAAAGGGGGCTGGGTTCTTCTGGTAGAACAGATCTCTCAGTGGCGAAGGCACAGCCTGCTCCGGGCCAGTGGGAGGGAGCTGGTGCAGGAGCGTGCCATGCACGGTTTAGGGTTTAGGGGTGCTATGGTTTGCGAGTTAGTTAGTGTTTCAGGTTTCGAGTATTCGGAATCGGATGACAGCCGAACTCGTCCCATCCGAATCACGCAGGAGGAAACTGGGATGACATGACCCAGGCAGTGCCAGAAGCAAGCAATTCGTGGGACAGGTTGGCTGTTGAAATTGAAACGCTTTTCTGACGTCGTCAATTGCATTGAAGCGATTTCTTTTCCATGCTCCAAGATCTCGCCCTCGGCGATAGTGAGCAGGTTCACATGCTGAAATGCAGCAGCTACGTAGCCATTGCGTGGCAAGGACATAGCAATACATAGGAATGACACAGGAGCAGGGTCGTCGGTCCACCGCAGCCAATAGCAGCTGCAGAGTTGATTGCAACTTAGGCGCATCATGGCGACGGCGGTTGGGAGAACACTGGCGGAGATGACTGGAGCGCCGGGCATGCTTGCAAGGTCTAGTCCGGAGAGTACCGGAGTACAGGTCGTCAGGGCAACCAAAAGCCTAGCCCAAGGGCGCAGACGGATTGTGGACCAACACATGCGACACTGGACGCTTTTCGGGCTTTCCCACTCGATGCCTTCATTCTGCAAGAACGGCTGATGCGTAATGACATCGTGAAACAGTATTCAATGACCTACGGCAACAGTATCCAACACTACTACTACTGCTACTACTACTGCCACTTCTTCTACGACGACTACTACTACTACTCCTCCTCTTCCGCCTGCGCCTCCTTCTCCTCCTCCTCCTCCTGCTGCTGCTGCTGCCACCACCACTACAAGTACGACGACGACGACTGCTACTGCCACTGCCACTGCCACTGCTACTGCTACTGCTACTGCTACTGCTACTACTACTACTACTACTACTACTACTACTACTACTACTACCACCAGCACTACCGCTGCTGATAATGCTAACAGCGACAAGCCGCACATAAAAGCACTAGCAAAACTACTCAGAAGAACGGTCTTTATGACAATCCTATGAATGACATTGTTTTGAATAGTTGGCGCAATCATCTTGTTGATGCTACGGCAAGTTGTCCATGAGTATGGTACCATATTGTCTCATACTATATCGTTAGTATTAAGTTAGTATCTTACCAACTCTCGTAACATGAAAGTTGTATGATATTGTAGCCTGATTGTTTCACGGCACATCACAAGGAGCGCCCCGGCTGCTCAGACCCAGCAGAGCACCTGGTGAGCGAAGAGGCACTGCCACCCACCAGTGACGGCTCCAGTGGTTGGGGGTTTGAGGGTGTTTATGGTTTAAAGCTTTAGGAGTTTAGGGTTTTAGGGTTTAGGGTTTTAGGCTAAGGCGTTTTTGGGGTTTTGGGGTTTGCAGCTCCAGTTCGAGCAGTCTCTTGTCGGGATCACTACCGTGGTAGCGGAAACCATCCCGCCCACCCACCCTTCGGCGTTGTGCCTGAGGTTTGCAGGAGGATGTTTCTCGAAGCCTGCTGTTTCCACATAAACGCTACCTACAGACAAGACACTTAGGCATCAAATCCCGAGACCCTCAACCTTGAGCCCTAAACCCTAAATCCTTAGAACAACTTAAAGCCCAAGCCCTCAAGGCCCTACCCCCGAAACGAAACCAAAAGCCGTTGACTTCGCCCTGGCAGGCTGCATCGAACTTGAAGCCAAGCAGGGGCACGGAATTGTCCGCGGACGCGCGGAAAAAAAAGACCGGGAGTTGGCATGCGATGTAAAAGCCTAACTAATTACCAATACTATTTTGGGTGTTCCTTCTTACAGATATGGTTTAATGTGCCCAAAACCCTATTCTATTTATGAAGGCCCCTATATTAAGCATAGGGATTGGGGTCAAGGGGTTTCGGTTCGGGGGTTTCCAATGAGTGGCCATGCATTATTACTTTCCACTATGCGTGTCGTGCCTAGAAGGGCAAGGAGCAACTTTCAATTATATCTTGTTTGCGTGACCAAGGATACGACAAGTGAAGCAATTTGTTGGATGGTTGTCAAAAGCTCTAGGCCCTAAGCCCTAAACCTCCAAACCCAAGGCCCGCAAGCTTTGATTCTAAGCTCTAAACTCTGATGCCTAAACCATAAACCCTAACCCCTCAGCTCCTAAACCTCCTTAACCCTCAAGTAGTATAGGGGCCTAAACAGTTATCCATACTATTTGGGGGGTTCCTCGTGATAATGATAGTATAGCGGGCCCCAAAACCCTATTCTAATCGTTAAGGCCGGTACATTGAAACCTGCGCTTTTCTTTCCGGCAGCTCGTCATCATGTCCTTCGAGTGCCTGCGGCTGATGATGAGGGCGGTTGACGAGGCCAGACCTGGACTTTAGCGTTTAGGGTTCTGCCGCTCAACGCAAAAGGCAAAGCACTCGTAACGACGGAAAGCAACCTCAACAACTCAACCCTCAAGTCCAATATTCCAAAGATCGGTCAAACCTAAACCTACACTTCCTCAGCCTTAAACCACACCAAACCCTATACCCCGAACCCTAAACCTTATAAACCCTAAACCCTACAAACCCTAAACCCCAAACTCTAAACCCTAAGCCTTAACCCTAGACCCTCTAAGCCCTAAACCCTAAAATCTAAGCCCTAAACCCTAACCCTAACCCTAGACCCTCTAAACCCTATTAACCCTATTAACCCTAAACCCTAAGCCCTAAACCCCCTAGGTGGAGTCCCTTTAAAACCTCCGCACGCTCGACTTTGAGAGGCCGTGAATTCCACGAACCACCGGACGACGCTCAAGAACCTGGGCGCCTTCTTAGGCTTACGGCTTGGGTGGGGGGAGAGGGGTGTTATAGGGTTTAGGGTTTAGAGTTTAGGGTTTAGGGTTTGGGGTTTATAGGGTTTAGGGTTTAGGGGGGGTGCCTTTTTACGATGTTTGAGGTGTAGGTTTTTTGGGGCTTTCAGGGGAGAATTTCGGTTTACGGTAATGTTTCGGATTCTGGTTTGGCTTCAGGGTCTTCGGTTTGGGGTTCTAGGTGGTGTTTAGTAGTTGACAGGCCAGTTGCTCGGTGGATGTCTCAGCCATGCAGGTGTAACACCATCGTTTATATCTTGGTACGGTTTTGCACCATGAGGCCGAGGCCCTAGCCAAAATCTGCAGCACGAGATTTTGTAGACATCTGCGCAGGCTGCCCCGAACCCGAGAAGCAAAATCCCTTCACACTCCGAAAGCTCAAAACACTCGATATAGGGGCCCCCTATACTCTAATTATAATGAGGTAGTTTATGTAATGACTAAGGCCCTATATTGAACCCAAGTCTTGAAGCCTCTGAGCATACATGATGCTTGCCTATAGACCCTAAAGATCTAGGCCGCTGGTATCGCAGGTCGCATCACGATTGGTCGAGATCAGCCGCTCAAAAGCTCCATGCCTCCGAGAATGGGGATTACTGGGTTCTTGCTAAGGAGTTTAAGGGTTCCTTCAAGGGATCCTTTAAGGGTTATCGCGGACAGATCTTTCCTACCATCGTCATCAACACCAATACTGCCGTCAATTACCATGAGGGTCAAGTGCACCACCATCACTGTCATGAGTGATCATGCCCGTCCTAGTAGCAGGGATACTCATACCTGAGCATGCTGCCAACATTGTGGAGAAGGGGCCTGGATGCTTCCGACCAGCCCGATGCAGGGGAATGCGAAGCACGGAAGGTCAGACTGGCTCTAAAATGGTGGTTGATGGTGCTATTTCTAAGGCCCCATGCCACCATGGTGGTCGCCAGTTTTTTGAAAGGCTTACAGTGACACCGACCAAAAAGAATCACTCTAATATTTGCATGCATCACCCCTCTTAGCGGCTCGCTGGATTGCTTTGGGCACTTCTGTTGACTTTGGGATGTTTTCCTTTGGGGCGTTGTAGTGTGGGGCTCGAGGGCTTCAGCTCTCTGATCACTTGGTTCGCATGATGGAATGGTAGCAGAGCTAGACAGGAACCAGTGCTCATTCTAAGGTTGTATCCGGGTGCCACGCAGGAGTATGAAGACTGCCAGCGGGGCTTATGAACTATGGGAAAGAGTCTTCTACCATCAAGAGAGTTTGGAGTTCCGAAAGTTCCAGCATAAGACTCTGGAGGGATGTCCTTCGTGCACTCAGGTAGAAGTATGGACATCAAGGACCTTCTCCTGGATGCCTATGAGCCGGCTGCCCTGAACAGTTCCTGTCTTTCAGATGACTTCAGGTTACAAGCCGGACTTACGGCTTTGGGCTGGGGGCGTCTCCGGAGCCCTGCTCCGGAATCTGCTTGTGCTGGCGTTTGATCTTTAGAATCGGAGACCACTGAACATACATGCTGCTGCGGGATTTTTTTTGTGAGGGGGGGGGGGCCTACCACAGTTCAATCTCAGGAATTCACGGCTGACGGCCGTGTTGCCGCTTGCGTGCAAGGCAACCTCTTGCGTGACTAAGGGCTTTGCCTTGGGTTTCAGGGTGCCCTGGGCCGAGTAAAAGGTGGAAGGCAGAGAGTGCGCAGGTTCAGACAGGCCTTCTTTCGTTGGATGCAACAGAACATATCCTCACCGTCATGGAGCCGTACTGAAGACTGACCATTTATGTGTTTCGTCTTATCTTCCCGAAACCCTAAAGCCCTAAATCATGGCCTGGACAGATCCTCGAGTCCATCAACAGGTCGCGGGCGTCGGGCACTCATTGCAACCGTTCAATTGGCCCTTGTAGGCCAGCTGCTCCATGACGAGGTCGGCTTCTCCCAAAATACATATCCAAAGGGTCCAAGTAACAGTGTCCATATTATATATATATATATATATGTATATATGCATGTATACAGCTTTTGGCCGCAGGCATCGACGAAGAACATACTATGTTGGTACTTGGACCTTTTGGGATAGTAGAACTTCCTCCCCTGCAGCTCCGTAGATCCTTTCGAAGCTCTAGGAGCGGCTAACCCCAAACCCTAAACCCTAAACTCTAAACCCTAAACCCTACACCCTAAACCCTAAACCCCTAAAGCCTGAACCCTAAACCCCTAAACCCTGAATCCCTGATGTGGTGTTGCCATGGCTCAGGTTCAAGTTGCCGTCACCGTGGTCCATGGGGCTTTTGCCGCTTCGGCTTGGGTTTCATCATAGGAGGCCAAAAGGGGGTTTTAGCCTATGGGGGTTTAGTAGGGATTAGGGGTCCCATAATAGGGTTCATATTAAGGAATCCCTACCCCAAGAATCTTTAACCCCACTTTTGGCGGCCTCCCATCATTTAATGGGGGACGGATGTCCGGCTTTGGGGTGTGGGTTTGCTAGTTGGCCGACACATGCCGATATTTTATGATCTAGTGATTCGGATGCAAGTTTTTTATTCGTTCAGCTTGTTTTGTTAATTTTGGTGCCATCTTTGGAAATTGTCCTTGGTACTTCACGTCGCTCCTCATGTCGAGGATGCTTCTGTTTGGGCATCGCTTTTTTGAGTTTCTGAGCAAGCAGGCCAACCAACATGAACTTTCATGGTCGGTACTTCCTGTGGTTTGCTTTGCAACATGCAGCTTTCGTGCGCAAGACTGGTTTCCCTGGTAGTGTTGTGATTGAATCCGGCCCAATTGACAACTGCCAACCCTCGGCCTGGCTTTCCAAGCCAAAAGGGGCCTCAAAACGCCACACCTGCAGTCGAAACCCTATGCGCAAAGCCTCCTCGTCTTCGATGCTGTTGCTCCCACCCTTGTCATAGGCTCGGTGCATGATGGTGAGGTGCAGCGTGACAGTGATGCTCTTATAGTTGGATGAACACACGATGCGGGCTGTCCAACAACTGAGGCCGATAGTGGAAGTAGTGATTCACTCGTGTTGCGCCGGGTATGGGCAGCTAAGAAGCAGAAGTGAAATGCCCTATGAAAAAATGCCACAACACCAACACTACTCAGACTATTACCTCTAAGACCGTTCTGTGGGCAACGAATTCTCGGCAGTACTGACACTGCCATCCGTGTCATTCTGCGACGCTGGCTAACACCTCAAGTCCTAAATTCAACCTGAACCTCAACTACTTTGCGTTTTGTTTGGGGTTCCGAAAAATGGTTCCCCTGTTTAAGTCCTAAGGGTTCCTTAGGGTTCGCTGTTGATCGTGTTGTAACTATACTATAAACTACCCCCAAACCCTATTCTCATTGTTACCATTACTAGCTATTCTTGCTATTATCATGATTAGTAAGAGTAATAAGGCCCTTATACGACAGACTGCCCAAGGTCTCTACTCGTCGAGATCCATACGGCTCGGCATCTCAGACTGGCTGCTTCGGGTGTAGGTTTGGGGTTTCGGGTGTACGGTTTAAGGTGCAGGGCAGGGTGTAGAGTTTAGGGTTTCGGGTTTAAGGTTTGGGTTTTAGGGGTGTGTGAGGGGTAGTGTTTCGTTTGGGGTCGAGCGATTTGGTATTTCCGGCTAGGCGTGAGGGCGTTGGGGGGTCCCCCACGCAAGTGGAGGGCTTGGGAAGCGCAAGGCTTTGGGTTCGCCTCGCGTTGGAATCCTTTCGGAAGTGTGGCAGAGCAGCAGGCAGCCTGGATGATAATGCAAGAGTGGTAGATGCAAGCCCGCGAGACAAGAAGCAGCACCAGGTGCAGTGACCTGGATAAGAGACTCCTGTATGCGAGGCAAGGTACCTTGAAACTCTTATTTAGATACCGCCTGCTTAGATGCCCGCCAGGTTTAGGGTGCTCCCCTAAACCCCAAACCCGGGCCTCGAACTTTATGAATCCCCTAAGACCCCAACCAGACCTTGGCGAAAGATCTCTTCCACGCCAGATCCCTTCCTTGAAGACGAACTTGTCCTTCGAGGTGGAGGCTTCTGGGAATCTCAAGCCTCGTGTTCATGAACACCTTCTTGTTAGTGTTTTTTTAGTATTTTAGTAATGACGACAACAACTTTTTCTGCTAATGTTTATTAGTCTTAATGCAAAACGTGGGACCCTGGGCGTGCGAACTTTGAGAATCTTTTGCGGACTCTATAATATTCTTAATACCATGCATTGTTCTCATTATGATTGTTTTGTTGTCGCTACAGTTGCCACTACCAGTACCATTGCTATTACTACGACTATTGATGTTCCTATTACTAACTGTTATTGTGGTAATTACTTGCTTTTACGACTCCTGCTACTACTACCACTACTACCACTACTACCACTACTACCACTACTACCACTACTACCACTACTACCACTACTACCACTACTACCACTACTACCACTACTACCACTACTACCACTACTACCACTACTTCCACTACTTCCACTACTTCCACTACTTCCACTACTTCCACTACCGCTACCACTACCACTACCACTACCACTACCACTACCACTACCACTACTACTACTACTACTACTACTACCACCACCACTACTTGCTGCTACGATTAGTTACTATTACTACTACTACTACTACTACCACCACGACTTGCTGCTACGATTAGTTACTATTACTACTACTACTACTACTACTACTACTACTACTACTACTACTACTACTACTACTACTAGTACTAGTACTAGTACTACTACTACTACTACTACTACTACTACTACTACTACTACTACTACGACGACGACGACGACGACTACTACTACTACTACTACTACTAGTACTCTTCCATTACCATTTCCATGACTATCGCAACTACTCTATTGCTGTGAACAATTTGTCTTTTTCCTTGTCTTGTACCGGAAGCGCATGGCTCATGCAACTCGCAGTTTTTAACCCTCAGCCCTGGAAGAGGTTCTCTTCCGCCACCTTGAAATTCAGACCAAAGACATCCCGAAGTCGGCGCCTGCCCTAGAACTAGTGTGCTTGGGTATAGAGGGTTTAAGGTTAGAGGGTTTAGGGCTTTTTAGTTAGACTTTTCCTGCACATATCTGCCGTCCACGCTGGATGGATGTTGGAAGGGCCTGCCGACAAGTTTCATTTCCTGGGCTCTGAAGTCTGCGCACGTGCACGAGCGAGCTAGGAGACAAGACAAGGCAGCTCAATCTTTCTGTCGTGCTCGTGAGGCTATGCTGAAGTATGTTGTTTCACATGCTCAAGTCCACCAGAAGTCCACCATTTAGGGTTTAGGGTTCTGCCATGATAAAGCTATCTTGACTCTAGCCCAGAAACTGCATGCCTGCATCCTTGGTCTGAAAGCTGAAGTCAGAAAGCCCAAAACCCACACAGTGCTGGCCAAAACTCAAACACGAAGGCCTTAAGCTCTTGACGACCAAACGTATCATCTAACCCTAAAGCCCTAACCCCCAAACCTTAAACCCTAAACCCCAAGCCCTAACCCCCAATCCCTAAACCCCTAAGCCTCCCCTCAACCCTAAACCCTTAACTTCCCTAAACCCCTAGACCCAAAACCCTGCCCATAGTCTGGATGCCGCAAGGTGAAAAGACACGAGGGGTTAACAAACAAAAACAAACCCTGCCCATAAAAACAAAAAACCTGCAAGCCCAAAGCCCAGGATCTGCTCCGCACCAAGCGGCCACCTGCTCCCGGAAGCTTTCGACTCAGCGACTCCGGAGCTTCCTCGTTTTCTTAATTATTCATATTGCTAATCATATATATATATATATATGTTATGAGTCTTATGGATATTGGTAATGCTGTTTTAATGCATAATGAATGCTGATAATAACTATGTTATGAAGATAATGGATGTTAGTAATGCTTTTTATCTTTGTCATTCTTAAGTTAGGTTTAGGCTTAATTGGTGATTAGAGTTTAGGGTTGAGGTACTGTAGGGACTATTACACGGGTAATTGTAGGCCGGAGTAACTTCCAAATCCCACAAGCTAAACCCAAACCCCTGAAACCCAAAGAACATGCAGCAGGGCTCAGCTTGTGCCAGGCCCTACTTCAAGGATCATGGGACTTAGTAACTACAAATATAATTAGGGTAACTATACTTATAACTACTTATAGCCCCATTGAAGGTACTTATGACCTTACTTACTAAGTCCCATGATCCTCCAAGTATCAGGTGCGGACCTCAACGAGCGGACGAGACTACACGATCGCCAGGCACAAGTACTACTGGGCTTTGGAGTACCATACGTTAATACTTTGTTTGTTAATGGAACCATTATGAAAGAAAAGTTTGTACTTTTTTCTCCCTGGTTACTTAAAAGCCCAGACTTGCTTCTCCGCCGACAACCGGGTGATGTTGCAGTTTGGGGTTTGCGTTTCGAGCCTTGGATTTGGAGTGCAGGGCCGCAACTAAGCTCCAAATTCCAACATCCTACATGCAAACTGCTAGACTCTGTGCTCCGAGCCCAATGCTCTTCAGAAGTGTTCTGTGAACTTCCCAACGACATGTGCCAGAGCGTTTTGCTTTGCTGCGGCATGGGCTCCGCCAGCTAAGACCCTTGTGCCAGTCTTGTGCCACTGTGGGCCCTGAGATCAAAGGACGTCAGAGATAGGGCTCCCTTCAGACCCTGAACCCTAAACAATAGAGACCTGGAACCGTTGAGCCATCGGCCCAAGCCACAGCATCTACTTTGAACCAACCCCGCCAGACGCAGCCAGAAGCACTCCGAGGCTTTCAACTAGCCTGCTATGCTAAACTACAGGACGTCATTAAAGAAGAACCCCATGAAGTCTTAAGTCTCTAGGGTTTAGGAGTTCAAAGGTTTCAGGATCACTCTAGGCGCATATTTTCGAAAGAGCAACCCCTCCAGCAAGCTCGCTGAGCCGCATTGCCTACATACCCTGAGCCGTCAACCTCGAAGCTGTCAACCCAAACCTAAACTTGGGGTCTTGCTACAGTTTAATTAGTTTGAATATAGTTGCTACAGTCTAATTAGTTTGATTTTAGATCCTTATTTCTGGTAATTTACATTACAATGTAATGTAAATACCAAAACTGGGGATCTACAGTGAATATCATCTTCAGCAAAATCTCGGGCAGGAAGTGCCGCAAGAGATGTCTGCCACCCAGATCTCTCGCTGTCGCAAGCGAAGGTAGGAATGGTGCCCCTCACCCAGTAGAGAAGCAAGGTACACCATAAGCCGTAGGCCTGTAGCCATCCGGGGCAGAAGCTGATCCGAACAAACCCAAAACCCTAAACCCTTACAAAGCTTGGCTTAAGACCTGCCTTCAAGGGTTTTGGGATTTGGCAGCACGGCCGTGGTTTTGGTATCGCCTTTGGCTTCACACCTTTAAGGAACGCAAGGATCCCTTAAAGGGCCCCTGAGACTTCTTCTAAAAGCCCCTGTCCTTAAATGAACCATGATCATTCCTTTTTAAATGAACCCCGTCAGGAACCACTAAACCCCACACCCTCAAAAGGCTCCTCAAGATCCTTTATTCACGAATCCTTTATAAGGAACCCGAAGTTTCCGCTTCATCAGCCCCTAAACCCCCAAACCCCTAAACCCCTAAACCCCTAAACCCTAAAGGTCGGCGCTTGGCTCCAGGCTCCGCAGGGAGCCGGGTCTGAGTTTTGGGACCAAGGGTCTTGGGTTTTGTGAAGGCTCCCCTTTAAGGGGCTTCCCTCATCAAGGCATCCTTTAAGGGGCTTCCCTTAAGGCATCCTTCAAGGGGGCTTCCTCTAAGGCTTCCTTTTTATGTAAGGGGCTCACTTTAAGGGCTCCTTTAACGGCTTCCTTTTAAGGGGCTTCCTTCAAGGGATCCTTCGAGGGCTCCCCTTTCAGGGTTGCTTAAGGGTCGTAAGAACCGTTGCTATTGCGAATGTGTAAACGGGGGTAAATGATGTTCGCGGGGCTTTCCAGAGATCTTATCAGGTACGACAAAGGTTTCATGGGTTTTTTTAGGCCTGTATAGTATAGTGTTTTTTTGGGGTGCCTTAATGGTTAGAACAGGTATATTATACTAACGGGTCACATTTGGAATTATTCAGAACTGAGGTTTGCCACTTTGTTTCACTGGGCCCAAATCTGCAGGTTATCGTCGCATAACATGGAGCTGAGTAATTAGTGGTCCAAAGGAGACTCAGAACTTGTTTCTGTGGAAGGGGGCTTAGGGATGTTTAGGAAACTTAAGCAGAAACTGCTGCAAGTGGCTTCAGAAACCATGAGGCTATCCTAAGGAGCAGTGACCACGCAACTTAGACCCTACATGCCCGCAAACCTCCGAACCCTCAATGGATCCCTTAAGACTTACTTCTTAAGGCCTGCAAGCCCTGTGATAGCGAGCCCGTGAGATTGCAGCGCAAGGCAGCAAGCCTCTGCATCCTCTGCTCATGCTCAGCAGCTCTGGATGGGCGGGGCCCACAGAATACACTTACCTGTCCATCCGTCTGCTAAGACATACATACACATATGTATATATATATATATATATACACACACATACACATCACTATAAACACATATATGCACACATACATATACACACATACATATACACACATGCATGCATGCATGCATACATATGCATGCACACATACATACATATATACATACAATACATGCATGCATGCATGCATGCATGCATACATACATAGATACATACATACACACATACCTACATACACGCATACATACATACTTATATACATACAGACACAAACACATACATAGTACATGCATGTACGCACATGTACATAGGCACATACATATACATATACTTAAGCACATACATACATACATACATGCATGCATGCATGCATGCATACACACATACATACATGCATACATACATACCTGTGCATACACTTGCATACATCTACATACACCCACGGACACATAAAGTGTGTATGCAGATGCCGATACAGATACACATGCATACACATATACATGTACATGTATTTGTATTTTTACAGACATACATACATGCATACATACATACGTTCATACATCCATACATGCATGCATGCAGACATGCATACCTGCATACATACATACCTGCATACGTACAGACATATGCATGTGTGTGTATGTTTTTGAGTACATGTACACCTTTGTCTTGTACGTACATTCGAATGTGTGCATGTATCTGAGCATGTGTACTTTTGTTTCGTGCGCGTCTCTGTGTGTTTGTGTAGAATGAGCATACAAATCTATACGCACATAATTATGATATCATACACATACATGTAAATGTTCGTATACGTCTATATGTATATACATATGTATTTGTGTGCTTCTTTGGGTAGACCCACCTAAGTACGGCACCGCCCCCGCCGCGAAATAAGTTTGCATAAATGTAGATCAAAATTCACATCGCCATAGCGAGCATGTCAGAGGGTGCGGAGCTGCTGGATATGCTCACATGAGTCATGCCTGTGTCTTGCCTATGGCTATGATGTTGTGCAGCGTGCATCAACATAGGGATCGGATAAGCCATGAGTTTGTTTATGCTTGGCTTCTCTATCAAGAGGGCGTTGCGTACAACTGTGTGGGTTGCTGATTCTTCTAAGCTGTGTTTGGTCAGGTTTTATTTGCAAGCGCTGGGTCTTGACATAAATTGCCATAAGAGTATTCGGAAAATACAGCTGTAAGGAAAGTTTCAGTAAAACCAATGGTGGCGCCAGAAAGCTACTTTAGCATTAATATTAATGTTAATGTTAGTAATGGTGTCAGTATTAGGATTAGTATTAGTATTAGTGTTGTTGTTGGTATGAGCTGCTATTTAAATAGTACGATCCTAAATAGCTGCTATTAAAAGTAATGGGTTTTGACATGGCTGCTACTAAGATAATATTCGTATCAGTATTAGTATGAGTCTTAGTATTACTATTATTAATACTAATATCAATATTAGTATTGTTCTTAATATTTTTTTAGTACTCATAGTAGCATTAGTATTAATATTGAAAATAGTATTAGGATTAGCTGCTATTACAATACTAGTGTTTGGAATAGCCATTAGCTTATTTCATATTAGTTTTAGTATTAATATTGATATTAGTATCAGTATTAGCTGCTATTAACATAATGGGTTTGTCTTTAAAGATCTGCCCTTCGAAGTAATAGGATTGTAAGTAGCTGTTATTTGAAAAATATTCGTATGAATATTTGTATGACTATCATTGGTACTAATTTTTATATTAGTAGTACCATTAGAATTAGTATTAATGTTAGTATTCATAGTAGTATTAACATTATTATTTATACTAGCATTAGTAGCTGCTATGAAAACAACAGTATTTTCAATAGCTATTATTGCAATTAGTATTCGTATTAGTCTAAGTATTAGTGGCTATTGAAATAGTAGGATGCTAACATTAATGTTAGTATTCATCGTAGTATTAATGTTAATATCAATACTAGCATTAGTAACTGCTATGAAAAATAACCATCTTTTTAAATAGCTATTATTATAATGAGTTTTCGTATTAGTATAAGTATTAGTGCTATTGAAATAATAGGATTCTAAATAGCTGCGATTAAAATTAATAAGTTTTGAAATAGCTGCTATTGAAATAATATTCGTATTAGTATTAGTATTCGTATTAGTCGCAGTATTGCTATTATTTTGCTTATTAATATTGATATTAATGTGAATATTAGTATTCATAGTAGTATTATTTTTCTTGTTAGTGCTAGTTTTAGTCTTGGCTGCGATTAAAACAATCGTATTTGGAATAGCTATTAGTTTAACCAATATTAGAAGTAATACTAGTATTAGCTGCTATTAAATAACGGGTTTGCATTTGTTGAGCTGCCATCCAAAGTAATAGAATTGTGAAATGCTATTACTCAAAATTATTATATAGTATGAATATTACTATGACTATTATTCGTATTTATATTAATATTAGTATTGCCATTGATATTAGTATGAATTTTAGTATTCATAGTAGTAATAGTATTGATATTAATGCTAGCACTAGTAGCTGCTAATAAAAAATAGTATTTTAAAATTAAATAGCTATTACACTAATTAGTATTCGTATTAATATGAGTATTAGTATTAGCTGCTATTAAAATATTGAATCTTTAAAGAGCTGCTATTAACAGTAGTTTTGTATTAATAATAGTATTACTATTTTTAGTATTAGTATTAATATTAGTAGCCGTATAAATATAAGCGCGCGAACCGGCCTAAAGCCTAGTATTCATAGTAGTATTAGTAGTATTTATATTAGTGTTAGTATGAGCTGCTATTAACATAATCACATTTCATTTATCTATTACTATAATTAGTATTGTATTCGTATTAATTTCAGTATTTGTATTAGTTGCCTTTAAATTAATTGGATTCTAAATAGCTGCTATTAAAAGAATAGGATTGTAAAATGCTGCTAATTAAACGATATTAGCATTAATGTAAGTATTATTAGTATTAGTATTAATATGAATATTGGTATTACTACTAATATTAGTATTTATAGCAATAGTAATGTTAATATTCATATGAATACTAGTATTAGTATTAGCTGCTATCAAAATAACCGTGTTTTAAATAGCTATTATTATAATTAGTATTCGAAGTGGTATTAATATTAGTATTAGTATTAGGATGAGCTGCTAGTAAATAAAAGGATTCTAAATAACAGCTGCTATCAAAGTAAAAGGATTGTAAATAGCTGCTATTAAAAATAGTACTAGTATTAGTGTTAGTAGTGTTACTATTATTACCATTTATTTTCATATTAGTAATAATCACCCGAGCAAAACAAACTTGTGCTTGTATGAGCCTGGCAGACTGGACATGCAGGGTTCTGATATATGTGCATATGTATATATATCTGCAAACACTGCAAACACTGGAAAATCCAAAATCCAAAAATCCAAAGATTTTGACAGAATCTTTGGATTTGCGTTTTTTTTTGAATTTTTGGATTTCCATGTGTTTTTTAGAATTTTTGGGTAGAATCCAAAAAATCCCTGGGAAAGTTTTGGATTTCGCTGGTGTCGCTAGTCAAAATCATAATATTCCCTAGGTTTTTTTTGGATTTTGTAGCAAAATCCAAAAATTCCCTAGGAAACAATTGAAATTCGTAGGTGCCGTTGCTCGAAAGCAATGTATTCCCTAGATCTTTTTTGGGTTTCGCTACAAAATCCAAAAAAACCTAGGGAATATTATGATTTTGCCTAGCGACACCAGCGAAATCCAAAACTTTCCCAGTGATTTTTTGGATTCTACCCAGAAATTCCAAAAAACACATGGAAATCAACAAATTCCAAAAAAAACGCAAATCCAAAGATTCTGTCAAAATCTTTGGATGTTTGGATTTTGGATTTTCCAGTGTTTGCAAGTTCCTTTTGCGAGCCCTTCATGCGACTCAAACATAATGCAATCCAGCTTAACATCGTGCAGGCTTACTCTTGGGTACACAGTGTTCGTTTATTGCAGCGGAGCTTTGTTTGAAGCTTGCGTCGTTATGCTGCGAAACGAACCCCGATTTTGTGACGCAGATTTGGGCGGCTAGTTGAGTTTTGTACAATAGTACTTTTGCCGGTATTTACAGTGCTTTCTATATGTTTTACATATGGAAGAAAGCCGGCGGTGGATCATGGGGGGGGGGGGGGTGACCATATATATATATATATATATATATATATACATATATATATATATATACATATATATATATACATATATATATATACATATATATATATATATACATATTTGCACATACATATAAGGGCATGTACCTACAACTTCATGTCTCTGTGGGTTTTGCTACTGCCAGTCTTGTGTGCCGTGAAGCATTGCTGTCTTTGGCGGTCATGATCCAACCCGAAACCCGAAGCCCAAACCCCTGAACCCGTAAGCCCCAGCCATAAGCGCTTTGCATCGTCGGTTAGAAAGGCGTGAACCGGGTCCCGTGTAGGTGCCATGACAGAACCATGGGATGAGGCAGGTGAAACGGCAAACCTGGCTTAGGCTACATATATTGTGATGGCAGAGACACTCCATAAACTCTGAATCCTGAACTGCAGTCCTTAACATTCATCTCTCAGGAGGTGGAGAGGGTCTTCGCGCCACCGAAGCGGAAGCTCACTACAGTCTCTCGATCTTTTTGCTTCACCGACCATGGTGCGTGGGGTCTGTGGGCTTGGGCTTTTTCTCCGCAACGTAGCGGCCAGGTATCCCTTCGCAGAAAGTGGGCAACCCCAAACCCTGAACCCGAGCTTACACCCTAAACCGTTAAGCCTGGGTACTTGATGGCTTCGAAGACTTCTCAGAGTCAAGGGGTTCCCTTGTTTTGTGTGCCCCCGAATCCTGAATTCTAAACAGTCTTGAACCCGAAGTCCTAGACCTTCGCTCGCACCAGTTGCCAGGGCAAGCTCATGCAGCAGCCTACGGTGGTCAGCCGCAGCCTTACAGGGAAATTTCAGATGCGAGCCTGAAGCCCCAGATTCGATCTCTTTATTCCTCCTTTTTTGTATACACAGACAGACTCATACATTTATATATATATATATATGTATATATATATATACATGTATATATGCACACATACACATGTATGTGTGTATATATATATATATATATACACATACATATCACACATACATACATAGTGCACATATATATATATATATATATATATATGTATATATATATATATATATGTATGTATACATATGTATACATATGTATATATATATATATATATATATATATATGTATATATATATACATACACATATATACATATCTATATATATATATATATGCATGCATGTATATATACATGCATGCATACATACATGCATACACAACAGATGTAGACATGTGGCCTTTTGTATATGTATTCTGTTCTAGCGCTGCATCCCAGACCTGCCGTCCTTGACCCGTAAGCCCGAAAGAGAGGGAAGTGAGGTTTCAGAGCTCCATTTTGCTGGGATCGTGCTCTCACGAAGCAGATGAACTGATGATAGACTTGGGGTTATCAGAACCCGAAACCCAAGGTTTAGGGTCGTCTAGGCCGTGCGGGGCTTATTAGGGTCACTGGGGCCGGCAGATCCGAGTTTGCCTTCCACAGTGGCTTGGATGAGATCTGCTCCAGTCTAGTTTCTTCCCCAATTCTGTGAAGCTGTATCCCACACAGAGGCCCTAAATTCCCGAATTCTAAAGCCCATTCCGGTTCAGGAGTCAGCAGCACTACCAGCAGATGCTCCGCGGTGAATCCTCGCAGATGCTGGTGACCGAGCGCGAGCGCCATAGGCCAGGCTCTGCTTGACCTGCCAAAGGGGGTTTGATACAAACAGGTAGGCGGTGATGACTGCGCAAATTGGTGCTGCCAATACTCTATACTTAAAGGATCATGGGACTTAGTAGCTAGGGTTAGGTAGCTATACTTATAACTACTTATAACCCCAATCAAGGTACGTATAACCTTACTTACTAAGTCCCATGACCCTCCAAGTAGAGTGTTCCTTGGTGAGCATGCCCCCCCTCGCGAGAGGTGATCTCTGCCGGGCATTCTTTCTCTGGTGTTTTGGGTTCTGATCAGCACATAGTCGTACACCACAGCCATAGGGACAACAGATAATCGGTACTCACAGCTTTCGTTTCTCCACAGTAAGGCAGTCTAGTTCATCTCGTCATAGTCGTGATGGTGGCAAAATCAAGCAACACTCTGTCATCCTAGAAGGTACTTCGTGTGCTCGTACATTCAGAGAGGGCCGTCTCAACCCTGAAGATTAGCCTCTCATTCGCTGCTTCGCAAGGGTCTGCCTGAAATCCTGCTGCAGCCAAGAGCTTCTTTCCGCTTCCCTGGTGAATCTCTACAGTCCCTTTCCCCAAGTCGTGGGCAGGATAGCAGTGGCTCAGCAACACGCTGCCCACCATGGGCATCATCATGGTTATTTGGTGGACCCGGTTTTGGTGTTGAAGGGTTCAGGATTAGTTTACGATTCCAGGTTTGGGGTTTGCTTCGTGTTTACAGTCTTGCATGCTTCTCTGCGTTCTTGGGTGCTTGCCCGGTGTCGGTATGTGGGATGTAGGCGAGCAGGGACCGTGGGCAAAGGTGCAGGTCACAGCCTATTCCATAAGACTCCTGCACGTCGTCATCATCGTCGTCATCACTAGAGACCTGTCGAAGCAGATGTGAACACCAAAACAAGCGTGAAATCCATATGCCGTTTGTACTTGCGGGGACCCACCTATGTATACATATATATATATATATACATACATACATACATACATACATACGTGCACAGTTTTATCTCTGCCTGTTGTTACTGTTACATATATATATATATATATATATGAAAAATATGCTCCAAGCTCCCCACAACCCCCAGTCCCAAATCCCACAACACACAGCTGCGTAAGTTGCCCAGAGATTGTGTAGATTTGAGCGCCGTTGGCTTGCACCCTTCTGTTGCGGTGTAGGAGTCTTCCCTTTTTCAGAGCATCTTTACCCAAAGGGTCCTTTGTACTGTTATGGGGGTACTTCCCTAAGTCATAATAGTAATTCCCAATATGGACACCCTACGTTCTACTATGTCGGTACATAGGACCCTTTGGGTTACTTGCAGGAAACAGAGAGAATGATCCACGACAACCTGCCGCACTCTTGGTGTCAAGTGATTTGCTTTCCACACGTGGTTGTTGAGAGAAGGCACAGGCACAGTCTTTGTAGAAATGATTCCCAAGTACACCTCCATGAGAATTTCATAGAGATAGCTGTGCTGTAATTTCAGTCGTATCGCTTTAACGCAGCATTGTGAAGGCCGAACATGATCAAGTGGCCGACGTTGATGAATGCCTTCCGCAACTTCCAGAAGCTCACGCAGCCCGGTGCCCGAGATACTTCTGTCGCGGAGGGCTCTGAAGACTCTACTATAGGGGCTTAAATAAATACCAATACTATTTTGGGGGTTCCTTTTTATAACTATAGTATAATGGGCCCCTAAACCCTATTCTAATTATCAAGGCCCCTATAGTAGTTGGGTGCCGTCGATCGACGCTGTTGCATGCTCGTCCGGTGATATGTGCACCTATAATAATATATACAACATACTACAGTATGCTGTTGCATACTGTATATGTGCATATACGTATAAATATATTTACATAGAAATGTAGCGTACTTATGAATGAGCTACTGCCAGATGCTAGAACATAACATGCTACTTGTGCCTGTTGGTTGGGAGGGCTTTCTATGGCAGCTTTGGCCCATAGGATGCATACAAAGTCTCGGGCTTTATGAGTTTTGGGTTTAGGGTTTGGGGGATATTGGTTAAGGGTTTAGGGTTTGGGGTTTAAGGTTTGGGGAGTAGTCTTGCAGAGGAATTGAGGCACTCCTGCAGTGATCCTTCTGGCGGAAGAGTAAAAGGATGTCGCATTAGGACATTAAATGTCACGGTACGACCCTGGTAATCATGTAGTTGTGAGGCGGTATTCGTAGCAGCCCCAGTGTTGACCATACAGAAGAGCGAGAAATCGACGGTCATTCCCAGTCCTGCGACTATGGCTGTTGGTATTAGTCCTGCTTATCATTGCCAGCCTTGTTAGTATTGGCTGAGCTGTATCTTGGTATGCTGACACAAGGTAATCAGGTCGCAACAATGGGACACCTTGTACCAACATGCAGGGTGGGGCATCCCCCTGTTGAACTTCTCATTTTCGCCGGAATAAGGAGTGAGTAGCTAGGTTATCAGAAGGACAGCAATTTGAAAGATCTCCGGTTAGGGTACTCATGATGTGAGTACCCAAATCGGACTTTCATGCATATATATATATATATATGTAGTAAGTATAATCTACTGGCTACGTCCCTGACCACCCTGATCCATCAAGCATGCATCTTCTGGATTGGGTCGCTCCACCTTCCGAACTACGGTCTTTCGAGAATCCTGATTCGAGCAAGGCGGGTAACCGTAACGTAGAACAGCCCCACGCAGGTGGATCGCCTGGTCTATCGACCGAGCGGTGAAAGAGGTTCTGGCTGCAGTAGCAGGGGTCTCAGCCAGCGGGATCGAGTGGAGCACTTGCCAAGTTGCGTCTAGCCCAGGACAATTCAACACGAAACTTGCGCAGAGAGAAACAGGCATGAACTTGATCTGGCGTTGATGCCTTCGAAACCGAAGCGTCTCAGGCAGACCGCAGCAGCAGTCTCGCAAGCTACGCAGCAGTTGCCATGGTGCCCGACTCAGAATTTGGATTCTCGAGAGCCCCGCCTCAGGCAATCACATATGACTGGTACGAACAGCTGAAACAGGAACCAGAACATCACCATCGCCGTGATGAGTGTTCTAGTGTGCTTGCAGTAGTAGTGGTTATTGTTGTTGCTGTTGTTGCTGCTGTTGTTGTTGTGGTTGTTGTGGTTGTTGTGGTTGTTGCTTTTGTTGCGGATGATAGTCTTACAGTACTAGCAACAACTGACTCAGGTGGCTACCAAGCAGTAAGTAGGAGGATTAGTATTACTCGCCGTCGTCGCAGTAGCAGTCTCAGTACAACGTCAGGAACAACCAGCTATGCTATATTATGTATAAATTGCCAGAAAGGCAAACCGGTATTCTTTGCTGCGGTGTTCGAGGGGTGCTCTGAACCCTAGTATTTTTTCGCTCAAAATCTGGTTTTGCTCAGACTACACACGAGGAACGCCTGAAAGATCGCACCGAAACCTAGAGTTTGGGTCTGTGATTTTTTTGCCGGGCCCCTTGAACTTCAAGTCCGACTCTTGAAACTAGACCCTTGAAGCCATGAGCCCTCAGCCCGGACCAAAATGCCCAACCCTTAAGCAGCAACCGTTTGAACGCTATTCTTCTCCAGCCTAAACCCTAAAACCTAAACCCTTTTGGGGGAGAACCGTGAAGTTTGAGAAAGCGGGTTGCAGGCAGTCAAAGATTTCGTCTTCGAGTCGGAAGAGGATCTGCTTCGAAAGGCCCGATGCTTAAGACCTTCCACTTTCTACAACAGCACCATAGGGCAATATGGGGCGGAATAGAGGAATAGGGGGTAATTACAGAGTAAAGGGGTCTATGGTGTTTAGGACTTGGCAGTTCTAGCATCGAGATTGACGGCGCTGAGATTAGATGGTGGATGAGCGGGTCCTTGGCGCAGGTGCTGCCAGCTGCTACCCAAAACCAGATGCATGTGTTGGCGACGCCTTACAGAAGCTCTCGTGAGGAGTTTGTTCTACATCAGGGTCCCCTGGTCGTGCATATGAGTCCTCTCCGGGAGGGTTGCAAATTCTGTCTAATCAGTGCATACTCTCCCCAACTATCTGCAGTTTACAGGCCGTTGCCTTCGGATATGGGAGTTTCCGAAAATAGGGGGTACCTTATTTGGGGGCCCTTATAATAAGGATCTTACTATTTAGGGTACTATATTAGGGTCCCCTATTTTCGGAAACCCCCATATAATCCTTTTTGAACGGAATCTGGTCGTCCGTATCTTTCTCTGGAGCGAGTTGTAGTCACTCTGCAGCCAGATCTGCCCCTGCTTAGAGGCCCAGGGGACTTAGTAAGTAGTTTATAAGTAGAGTTATAAGTCCCTTCAATCGAGTTAGCCCAATTATAACCCTACTTATAATCCGACTTACCAAGTCCCCTGGGCCTCCAAGCGCAGCAGAATGCTAAACGGCATCTTGGCTCCGGATGTTCGTCAACGCTGAGCTTCAAATCCTACGGTCATACACCCTGCAAACGCCAACTGTGTTTACGGTTTAGGATTTGGGGTTTAGGGTTTAGGGAGTTTAGGGTTCTCAAAAGGGCGCCTTTATGCGCGAGACGAAAAGCACTTGAACTGCAGACTGCCAGCTGTCTGCAGCAAGTGCGTTCCGACTCTATCGCCGCACGACAAAATCGATCCCCTCGGTTTTTTGTGCGCATACCATATGATATAGTCTATATAGTAGTAAAATTGAGGAATAAGATAAGAAGTAAATAGATAAATACACAATAAACAAACATGTGTGTGTATATATATATATATATATATATGCACACACATTGTAGCCCCTACCAAAACTTGGCCCTCGACTCCAAACCTAAAAAAGACCCCTTCATCCTCCGAGGGCGCGACGTCCATGGGCATTGCTGTGGCAGGTTCTCTGGCATTGGTCATGTGCCGCCGCCTCAACTCTCAGGATGCCTAGTAGTACCCTTATTCCCTTGTTGTAGCCCTAGGTTCCTTATAAAGTTACCTACTGCCGAAAAGGGAGCCCTTTTGATTCCTAGGTTACTGGGCATCCTAGACTCAGTTCTGTGGGTTGAGGGGGTCGATACGGTGTGCGACGTACGGGAGGTTTTGGGTGGAGAGTTTAGGGAGTTTGGGATTTAAGGTTTAGAGTTTAAGACTGGTTGGATGTGAGGAGTTTGGGTTTAGGGCTTGGGGCATGAGCTTTCGGGCTTGAAGAAGGGTCTTGTGCAGATGTAGAGGCCATGCACATCCGCGCCTTCTGCTCTCCAATCTTCTCGTCTACCAGCAAACCACTTCACCCAACCGTCCAAATCTTCAGCCTCTCATTGTTTCGGATCAGCAGCGTGTCACACAAATTTCCTTCGACACTCCACGGTTCTTGTTGCCATCTCATTCATTCTTTTCGAAGCTGCATGCCGAAGCTGCTTGCCACGACATACAACGTCGAGGTCCAACACTTTGCCTTAAGCACGATGATCCACGACTTGAAAACAAGCGAAGCCACGTCGCAAAACGGGTCCTAGCATAGGCCCACCCCGCAACCCTCTGCCCCAGCAATCTCCAGCATGCACCTCCACACCTCGCTTTTCGTTGGATTTGGGTGTAGCTTTGGACTGAGAGTAATTCTAGAACGTGAGCCGTTTGGGGTCCCAATCGCGTTGCTGCTACAATACGAGCAAGGTATCTAGGCTACAAGCACGTGCACCGGCCTGGTCGCATCGTAGCAGGGCGCAATTGCCTCGGATCTAAACATTCAGAGCAAGTCATGGGATGGTATAGCGATATCAAGTCATGCGGTTCACCATACTTACAACGACAGTGAAGTTTTGGTAAGCTTCCCGGGTAACCGCGAACTTCTCCGCATTCGCTAGCATGTTGGCCGAGTTCATACCCTGTCATGCACATAAATAAACTTTGCATAAGTGTACATTTTTCATTGTCAGTTGTATTTTACTAGAAACTTCGAAAGGTGTTTCGCAACCCGTGCACCGCATCTCCGTCACTGAATTCCGAAGCCCAAGCACCGCCCAAGTCCCCCATCCCGAAAGAACAGCTTCAATGTCCAGTCCCCGGAGCATTTTGCCCTCGAGAGACCCGGACCTGTCGTCAATCTAACTACTTGCTGCTTGTTGCTTGTAGACTGTTCAATGTTATTCCATTCGTCAATGTGTATGGATAAGTGCAGATTGCGCGAAAGAGAGACTATTCTTGGATCGTGGCCTGCAATCCGGAGTCATTGGCCTCTCGAGCCCACACTTCGAGGATCCTACTATCTTAGAATCAACACACAGGGGCTTCTACGTCTACAAAATCCTGCCTAGCATCATTTCGGCTGCCACACATGAGGTCGCGATGCAATGCGCACATCCCTGACGCCACCGCCCCAGAGAGAGAGAGAGAGAGACAGAGCGGGATAGCTAGAGAGAGGGACAGAGAGGGGCAGAGCGAGAGAGAGAGAGAGAGAGCGAGCTACAGACCCAAGCTTCCCCACATTTGGCTCCTGCTGCGCAGCCTTGAAACACGAATCCCTAGGCCTTCGGCTTCATTCCTCAAGCTTAGGGTTTAGGGTTCAGGTGCTAAAAGATTTTGAAGTCAGGTTGAAGGCAAGAAGCGGCTCGGAGTCTCTCTGTGTCGCTGCTCGTTTTGGTTGTGTCAAGCTTGTCAGACGGAAGTTTTCCTTCAAGGATCATGGGACTTAGTAACTAGGGTTATGACTCGGGTAACTATACTTATAGCTACTTATAACCCCAATTTCTGTCACGGATCCGAGTGAATTATCGTTTTTTCATTGATATCAAAAGACTGGAAAGCTATCCTTTCCAGTTTCCGTAATAGTGACGAAGGAGCTCATGCCAGGGAAGTGTAGAGCAACGTGGGCCGGTTACTATGGCAGCTGTCCAGGACCCATCTCTGGCACGTCTTCATGCAGATGTTTGGCACCAAGGACCCCTAAACACTACCCAGAGGCCCCAAAGTAGTTCCTTTTTGGGAGTACCCTATAGGATTCTATATATGAACCCCCAAAAGGAACTACTTTGGGGCCTTTGGGTAAACCCTAAGCCCTTAAACCCAATCATAGTTTGCAGAAGCGGTCTCACTGCACAAACCACAGCAGGGAAGGGTCCTGGGCACCTCGTGGCAGGTCTCATTTCTGACTAGAGAATCCTTTCCCACAGACTTGGCAAGCTCGGCTGCCTTCTGTCAGATTTGCCAGCACGCATGTCGCACGGATTTCGAGGACTTGTTCTTGGTCTGTATGCTCCGGAATGTCAGCTAAATCCCACATACTTCTGTATGCATAAAGCCAAACACCGACCACGTCATTTTCAAGGTGTAGGTTCATGCCGCAGTATCTCCGATTGAAGCTGGTCTGTACGTCTCAACCGACACCTTTCTGCTCAAGCTAGGACTCACATGGAGATTATCATCGGGTTTAGGGTCCAGGGTTTCGTTGTATACTGACCGTTCTGTGCCAATGCCTTGCCCATCGATGCAGATTTCCAGCTGCCAACGCTGATAAAACCGTCTGCAGACCACACCTAGCAATTCTGATGTCTGACAGCCTTCCGCCCAAAGCTGACATCAGCCATCGCACGGATCCTTACACAGATCTGTTTCTGCTTTCTGGTCGTATGTTTGATGCCCCCCAGGGAGCAATCCCGAGAGCCTTTTGTCCCATGATGTTGCGAACGGCCGCGACGATGACTCTGCTCGGCATAGCACTCGCTGACTTCGGCTTCTCGCCAGGATATGGCCCTCGAAGTCCTGTTAGCTTCAACGTGCGACTATGGGCGTAGTCTAATCTTGCTTACGGACAGTAGCTTTGGATACAGGTGCAAAGCTGCGCCTCTAAGGTAGGATCGTGACAATGCAGTGCCTGAAGTCTTGGCTTTCAGACATGTGCGTTCAGATGTGCCAAGACCTTGCCATTTCCGGCGCCAGGTTCCACTGCTTCAGCATCGCAGTGGTGGCCCAGGACGCCAAGTAAAGCTACAGTATTCTAATGAGGTTTGGAGTACATGGAATATTTTTCTGGATGATCATGAACCCGAAGGAACAGTATTGTTGATCATTCCGCCTTCTATATTAGTTGTTTCACATACTTGTAAACTTATACTTGCGTTTGTAGGTACACCATCTTGAGTGAGTACCATTCCAAGTGCTTTGTCGGCACAATGTTGTGGTCTTCCCGCAAAATCGTACCTGCTGAATCGCCACTCCCATAATCGATTGAGAGAAGCAGCAGCTCAGTTCAGGTTCACAGCGCACAGTCGCAGAAAGCACATAAGACATGCAGCGAATGCCTATCTACGAAATCATGGAGTGAGATGCTCCACGCTCACGCTGGCGAGGCAGAGCGCGGCAAATAAATGATTCGGCATGCTATGAAGAGAGCTGGCCAGTTCCTGTGCTCGTGCGACGACATGTTGAAGTATGGTGCATCTGGAGGCATGACTTCAACAGTATAATTAGTCAGTATAGTGTAGTATAGTGTCGTATAGTACAGTCTTTGATGGTATGGGGAAGTATAGTATAGGACGGCACAGTCTAGCCTCGTATGGTATAGCATAGTATAGTACAGTGTATCATAGTAGTAGAGCGGCACAGTTTCGTAAGTTCTAGCAAAGTACAGCAGTTTTCACAGAACGCGTTAGTTCATACTTCTTATTAGATGCTTTCGTGCCGCAGCACCATTGCATATGGTTCACAGCAAGATGCAGAAGGACGCACGAGACCTGGCTCAAACCTTGATACCAACACAGGCCACCGAAAACTGACATCAACTCTCAAAGGACTTGGGACTTGTTTCGAACCTTGTTGTGTCCCAGAGATCTTGTAGACTGACCATCGTCGTCGGTGAAATGCACCGCCTGGTAGGGTTTGCAGCCCAAACCCAGCCCAGACGTACCAGTTGTACAACTACACCATGCTGTACTAAACTGTGCTATACTCCCTAAACCCTAAACCCTAACCCTAAAGCCTACACTGGACTGCACTACTAAAGCTAAAACGGATTCTGGGCTCAGTTAGCATGAGAGGCACTCCGTAAGCGGGCAGTCTGCCGGGGGCTCCATGGCAGGGATCTCGGTGGTGCTTTGATGTTTTGGGTTTAGGGAGTCTAGGGTTTCGGTTTGGGCTGCTTAGGTTTTATGGTGTTTTTGGGGTTGAGGGGTTTGGGGTTTAGGGTTGGGCGGGGCTAAGGGATGCGTCTCCAGGTCGCAGACTCATTGAAACCACCACTGGGGCTTGGATGTTTCTTGCTCTGAGAGGTTTCGTTCAATGCGAAGGTGGCTGAGGCAGGCTGTCAGACTTCTCACTTGAAATTCGGGCTTCGCAAAGAGTTGGATAGAGCTGACTAACTTCTCAAAAAGCCGCCACCAACGCAGCGAGAATTTCGATATGAGGCCGGCTCCAACTTCACTTACATGGAGGTTGTCCGAAACTGGGGCACCTTTCAATGGACCCATTCAAGCGCCTACGAGCAGACCTCCGCAACGGACCGAACCTAGGCCCTAACATGCCAGAGCCGCTGGAACTGATGATATCATAAACTCCTCGTAGCTTCCCAAAGCTGTTCTACACATCATCCGAAGTTACTCAAAGCCGTGCTTAGCCGCCTTGGGATCAAAAATAGTCTTCAACTTACCCAAACTTCGAGCTTTCGGTCAGCATGTAAGCTTGACCGTAGGCCCCAAACTACAAAGTAAAAGAGCCCTCATCAAAAACCCTAAACCCTAGAAGCCCTGATCCCTGAGCCCTATAAGCTGTAGGCAGTGAACCATCTCTTTGCCTTCTCGGCGCGCAGCCCAAGAAGCCAGTGGAAGGGGACCAAAGCAAGAGGGTCCGGAGTTAGAGTTCAGGCTTATAGGGCTTGCGGCTTAGAGTTGAGGGTTCAGGTTTTGCGGCGAAGAGTTTAGGGTTTAGGGTTGGGGATCAGAGTGAACGGGTTTGGGATTTAGGGGAAGGCTGTACGGTTTGGGGTCCCTGAACCGTAAACCAAATGCTTATGGCTTCTTTCGGAGTGTAGATCTTTGCGAAGCCATCTCGCAGCAATCAGCAGTCAGTAGCCACACAACCCTATGATCTCAAGTGATCTGCATATTTAGGGTTTACCTGGTTTACCAACACCCCCAAAAGTAGGCAAAATCACAGCCCAAACCCTACAGAAGGCAATTGTTCTACATACTTTTGAGGTCCAGGGATCCTACTATAAGTTAAGGTATACTCCTTAATGAAGGGATATACCTTAATCATACTGGGGATGCTAGTATAATTTAAGGTAGTGCAGCGGCATGCATGTTCCTCAAAGTCTGTTCTCATCAGCAGAAGGGGCCTCCGGAGCAAGCCCAAGGCTTCCGGTCCCTTAAAGTAGGGGGTTTGGGGTTTAGGGTTTAGGGTTAAAAGGGTTTAGGGTCTATAGGGTTTTGGGTTTATAGGGTTTAGGGTTTGGGGTTTGTATGGTTTAGGGTTTAGGGTTAGGGGCCTTAATAACTAAAGTAGGGTTTTGGGGGATTCCTTGTTCTAACTGTAGCAAAAAATACGCCCAACCCCGATTCTAATCACTAAGGCCCCTACAGTATCAAATGTTGCTGTGTTAAGGCAAGATGGCTGAGCTGCCGCTCCGACCCATGGTGCTACAGTACGTTTGTTCTGATTCTGGTATCGAAGGCTCTGGCCGAAAAGACACAGCAGTCAAACTCCAAGAGCCTTTGAAAGTTGAGCCCCAAACCCTAAACCCCTAAACCCCTGAACCCTAAACCCCTAAACCCCTAAACCCCTAACCCCTAAACCCCTAAACCCCTAAACCCTAAACCCTAAACACAAAACTCCAGAAACCCCTGGGCCCCTCAAACCCTAAGCCCTGGACCCCAATCGCGGCACCAGAGCACTGAGGCGAGCGTGGAGGGCGCCGGCATAGCCGCGGGCTCCCCGTACCTTGGCCTATGATGCCCAGAGACCCCAATACCCCTTAATTAAGGAATATAGCTTAAATCATAATATGAAGAAGCCCTATTATGCCATATTCCTTAAGTAAGGGGTATTGGGCTCTCTGGGTGACGGGGCAGCTCTGGCTTTGGATTTTGCGGTTTGGGTTTTAGACTTAGAGGTTTGGGGTGTGGTTTTTGGGTTTGCTTTAACTTCAGGGGTTCAAGAATTTTTGTGACACGGTGTTCCTCTCACAACATTTGGTTGGGGCGTTCTAGGCGGCGTTCTGCAACACACCTTGCAGACATCCCATGACATCAGACTCATTGAGAAAGCCTCGGGACCTTTACGGCGCGTTTTCTATTAAGGGATCAGCTTTTGAAGTTCGAGTCTTGTGAGTTTTCAGCCCTGACTTCCTAATGTCGAAACGCGGAGCAGTTGTACTGAGCTCAGAATATACCCTTTTCAAGATCAGCCGGAGGCCCAGTTGGTGCAGAATCAGAATCAGATAACATGGTTAGATCGACGATGGACATATAGATAGACCGATCGGTCGATAGATAGACAGATAGACAGATCGACAGGTGGACAGATCGACCGATGCACAGATAGACGGGAAGGCAGATAGCCGGATAGGCAGTTAGACAGACAGAATAGGTAGATAGGTATAGATAGAGAGATCGGTACATCACTGGTTAATTACAGTGATGTATCGACAGATAGAGGCGCACAGACATATGATGATGGGTCTTTTGGAGATGCATGCGAACATTGCAAGTTACATGTTTGTTATTGAACATGGCCGGCATTTCCCGTGAATCCAGTACTCCCGCGGTCGAAGCGAAGGATCCTCCTTACATGGACCCGCCGTAGACACTACATATACCCTAAAGACACTATACCCTAAAGCGTCACGTGAGCTTTAGCTGAAGTTACCTCACTTGTACTCCCTGTTTGTGAGTCCCCAATGGCCCAATGAGCTTGCGAACCTTGAAGCGCTACACCTCCAAGAAGTTTTAGTGTAGCTTATCGTGCTGGACCTCCCTAAACTCTAAAACCGTAAGCCCTCAGCCCCAAGCCGGAAAGGTACGGGTGCGGCGTGCAACCCGATCAGGCCAGGTCGTGACCCTCAAGAGGGGCTTTGACCATTTTTCGGAGCTTGAGCCAAAATCCAGAATCGAAAGAGATTGCAGTTTAACACATTAAGACATATTCTCGCATATTATGGGAGTCTATCTTACATTCTAGAGTATTCTAAGTGTTTCTTTCTATGAATGTATATCGTACTAGTTTCCGGATGCGATGCGTAGGCTTTCGGGCATTTGGGTTTCGGGTTTGGGCTTTACAGCAATACCCGAAGGCCCCAAAGTAGTTTCGTTTTTGGGGTTCATATATGGAATCCCATAAGGTAATCCCAGAAAGGAACTACTTTGGGGCCTTCGGGTAGGTTTCTGGATTATTGTTCAAGCAAAAACCTGGCTTCTGAGGATATGGCACTGAACTGAGTTCAAGCGGCGGTTACCATCATCAAGAGTTTGATCGCGCTTCTCGTTCTCACTTTAACCCAACTCTCAGGTCTGTTCAACAGTCTGTTGCTAAACATACTATAACATAAAATGATATGCCAAACTATCATATACTCTACATCAAACGGTATGATATACTCTGCTATATTGCGTGGTGATATACGATAAAAAAACTATCGCACGCTATCATGTACATGTCAAAGCCAAGGCACATCTTCGCACTCGTGAAATGCGGAAGTAGCGGCAAAGGTATTTGTAAACCGCTTCAAGATCCATAGAAGGTGACTAAGAAAGGGGCCTGAATACCGTTTTGGGGGGTCATTATTGTAGTATACTGGAACAAACCCCATTCTAATTATCAAGGCCCCTATACTAGATTTTCCGCAACCCCTGCAAGAGTCTCTGCCTGTCAGCTTTCCAGGAGGATCGCTGCTACTATGGGCATGTTGACATTCCGGCGTCCGTGGGTCACGCGTGGCTCGGATTCAGTTACGTCACCCCGAAGCTTAGCATGAGAAGACTTTCACAAGCCGAACCTTGTATCTTGGGTTTAGGGTTCAGAGGAGAGTGCCACTCTACTTCACTTCTTGTTGACACCTGACTCCAAAGCCTGACCCTAGACCCTACAAGTTTTAGGGTTCGGAAGACAGAACGATGGTATTCCCTTACAGACAGTTCTACACCTATTTGTAGGCTGTATACACCAAAACAAACTTAAGTTCTAGCACAAGCAGCTCAGTGGTCCCTCCAAGAGCCCTGAACGGAGCGTGCATGTGAGGAAAGTTTGCCTTGCAAGGTGGGACCATTCTACCCTTGAGACCTAAACCCTGAGGCCCCATTAGAGACCCCATTTCGCCGAAATCCTGTCGTGAACCTTCAACTCTAAACTACCCTCGAAGTCGCGGATGGACAAAGGCCGTAAACGCAAATTCCCTGTAGAATATAGATCAGATCCTATCCTATCCTATACTACCCTATCCTATCCTATACCATCCTCTGCTACAACAAACTACACGCGGGGGTGGGATACTGCACCATACTTTACTTGACTATTCTGGGAACTCCACAGGTATCGCCGGCAGGCACAGGGCCATATCGACAGCCTGTCGAACTTGATCCCCGACTGCTTTACAGTCTTGTTGCATGGTTTAGGGTTTCGGGTCAGTTTATTCTATGGGCTCAGGTTGGTGGGCTTCCGTTTGAGGTATAAAACCCTATAAACCCAAGGGGCCCTGAGCCCTAAACCCCAAAAGGCTCGACACCCTAAACTTCAGGGTGAAAGGAGCAGAGAGTCAGATGATCCGAAAGCCCCCACGTCGACGCCAAGCCATCGCATAGCATGTAGGTATATAGCCATCTATGCAGACTATCATGCAGACACACATGTATGTAGGTATGCATGCATGCATGCATGCATGCATGTATGTGTATGTATGTGTGTACGCATCTATACATATGTGCATATAAATGCATATGCACCTACCTACCTACCGACCGACCGCCCCCCACCCACCCACCCACCCACCCACACATACATATATGTAAACAAACAAACATATACATCAATACAGTATACATTTGCATGCATGTTGTATACGTGCACTCTATCACATATTTCCATGTCTTGTAAACAGAGGTGCGTATGAAGTGCTCTATTTCCGGCAGACAAGGAAGCAGACCCCTGTCCTGCTCTTCAATGGCAAGAAAGACAACGAAGTGTACAAAAGGACATTGGGAGCCTGCATCAAGCTACAATCCTTTTGGAGCTGAGGTTTAGCTCGTGTTTGCCAGAGGACTATGGTGGACACCTTCCATCAACTTCAGTATTTCGTGGACGCAAAGTTCCTGCACACCGCCTTCGAAACAGGCTTGAAGCAACATTTGTGGGACGAAGGCATTGTTTGCGACGGATTTGCTTGTAGGGTAGTCTTCTGCTGCCAGATGCCGCGCACGTGTGGAGCGTGGATCATGGCAACTGCGATTGCCACTAGACTGCAGCCAAAGGGTGACGGTTTGTGCTCGGGGGAGTAGACTCTCTGTTCGGCAGAAGCCCATTCAACTTAAAACCCGCGAATCCCGGGACCCTGGGCCGAAATTCGAGCTCGTCATCCGGTGATTTTGCTGCATGCTCTGATAGCTAGGGTTCAGGGTCTGCAGAGCACTGTCACGGAATACGACCCCAGATAGTGCCCAATATCAGGCGAAGCCCAACCAATCAGACAATGAAATCGGTAGCACCATCAAGACATCCGACCACAATACCATCCTGGTCCAATCCACCAAGTACTAGTTGGGGAGACACCAGAGTCGGACTACCTGAACCCGGCAAGTTCAACGGGTGCTGCAGGATTCGATCAGCGGCGCATTTTGCGGATCTGATACAGTTCAGGAAGCCTTCGGCTGTAAGAGCATGATGTCCAGAACCCGATGGCAAAAAGTTGAAAAGCTGCGCAAATCCCCGCAACAAGATCCTACAGAAACCTTGCTAACGCCTTACACACTCGGAAATCGAATGGAAAGAAAACTCCAGTTACCTCTATAGACCTTAGAACTATAATGCTTCTGAAGCCCTAAACCCCCAAAGCCCTCACCCCCACATGCCTTAAACCATACAGTCGGGTCGATCCTGGGGCCGGCATTTCTGCATGCGACAATTTGAAAATGGGTTTGCACGTTGCTAGTTTGTTTGAGTTCGAGTCCTTTTTTGCATAATGTTTGAGCCTTGTTCGTTGTCACAAATTCGTGCATTCCTGAATTGAGTGGAGCGCGCAGAGAAACCCTTGCAGAACCCTTCTAGTGTTTTCGAACCCTTTTGGAAGCCCCTACAGAACCCTTATGGAACCCGTATAAATAGTAATCCTTATGAATCCCCGAGAGAACCCCTAGACTGACTGTTATACTAGGCCTCATAGTAGCTAATCTCTACAGCAACCTCAACCCTTGTAAATCCCTAAACCCTAAACCCCCTAAACCCCTCAACCTTCAAAGGTGGGGCCTGCAGTGACTTCATGGATAAACCGATCTGCTGCGACGTGAACAACTGCGTCTACGACCTGAGCGGCGCCTCCACGCATTGCTCAAGTCTAAGGGTTCAGGGGTTTGGATAGTAGGGCTCAGGGTTTAGGGGTTTGGGGCTTGGGCCTGCACCTGAAACCGATTTCGGTGCATAGGGCTTTGGGGGTCAGAGAGTAAGGTCTCCTGTAGCTCTCAGCCGAAAGGCGGAGTTGACAAAGGAGCATCAGATGTTTAGGTCTATAGAGCTATAGCCCTTCGAAATCGTTAGGATTGAGTACATCTCGGGGCCGTTGTACAGATTTTTTGTCCCTTTTTATCAAGCCACACCGGCGGGACTGTGATCCAGAACCACTTCTTTTCGAGGCATGCGCATGGGCTGCCAGATTTTGAGGCGAGGGTTTGGGAACTTCAGGTTCGGATTCGAGATTTAGCGTCTAGCTCTAGTAACTCTAGCAACAACAGGACCAAGGTATCCTACAAAAGGTGAGTGTGCCTAGCAGTTTCGGCTCCCTCCTTTTGTTTCGCAACGTACGATACATTGGCGACACTGGGGAAAGACCGGGCGTCCAAAATTGGAGTTTTCGAAAATAGGGGGACCTCAATATAGTGCCCCAAATAGTAGGATCCTTATTGTACCCCTATTTTCGAAAACTCCCAAATGATGCTGGCATGAGGCGACATGCTGCGGAAGATTTACGGACCGCTGCGAGAACGTGCGCAGGCGAGCCGGGAATTTTCCCGTCAAGACTGTCGAACGGAGCAGGTCTTGGCCTATGGAAAGATACATACGTACATACATAACACATACACATACGTCTCACATACATACATATATACCTACATTCATTACATTAAATTACCGTAGCCATGCCTCACCTTACCGTACCTTACTTTACACTTCATTATATTGCATTGCATGGCACAAACATATACAAACATACATACCTGCCTACCTACTACATGCATATATACACACACACACATCCGCATTTGGACCGACTCACAGACGCACTGGCATACGGACATACGGACATACAGACATGCTTGCATGTACATGCATACATACCGGCATACATGCATAAATGCATATACATTCTTACACGCATACATGCATACATGCATACATGCTTGCATACTTACATAACTGCACATACTCATACTCATACTCGCGCGTGTACACATACACATACACGTGCTCACATACACCCACGGTCACATATGAAGACACCCACGCAGATGCACAAAGACAGAAGTACATTCCACACATTCATCCATGCGTCTGTCCTTTCCTCCATCCACACAAATACAGACATCCATCACATACATCCATCCGCCCATCCGTCCTTCCGTCCAAACGAACACACAAAGACACTAACACACAAACACCCCACACACACACCCACACACACACACACACACACACACACACACACACACACACACACACACACACACACACACACACACACACACACAAACACACACACACACACACACACACACACACACACACACACACACACACACACACACACACACACACACACACACACACTCACACACACACACACACACACACACACACACACACACACACACACACACACACACACACACACACACACACACACACACACACACACACACACACACACGCGCGTGCGCGACTTGTCACAGAGTATTGCTTGTTCAGATTGCTTCAGCCAATGCGGCCCGGATCCATGTCGTTGGTGCCACATTAACGTGAAGATTGTTATTTTTGACTTTTAGACACCTCTTTAGTTTGATGCTAACTGTTTCCCCAAACAAGGATTGAGGAGACATTGTCTGGCGGTGCACAGATCGCAGGACCCACCCTAAGCTATCTTTTTCGATACCGCCGCAGCTGCAGGTTCATCCAGTGCTGCGCCGGATCAACCAGAATCTTGTCAAGTCAAGGGACGCAGGGTTGGGAATCCCTCGTGCATGCCCGAAGCAGCAGCTTTTGTGCCCTGTTTGTGCAGGATGTTAAACATCGTGCAGCTTCTTTGGGTAGACTATCTTTACGACGCAGACAGGTTGCCTGTAGCCTTGGCAAGCCCTTTCTTTCCGGGGCTGTTGGTGCCCAGGTGGAAATATGTTCCACGGCGGGACTCGGACGTTAACACGACGACCGGTTCCACCCAGAAGCTCGGATTAACGGCTGGCCCTACCGGCCCTCAACCGGGCTCATACAGGTATACAGGTAGATCCGTGAGTGCATGAAGACGTCGTAGCGATTGGGATGCATGCTGGCAGCACACTCATGGAGCTCTTCGAATGCACAGGAAGGTGTCTGATTCAGAGTACCGCTGCCTGTGGTTCCTCTTTCCGGGTCGAGGGTCCCTGCCGCACGGAGTTCAGGGTGCCTCAAAAAGTCGCATTTACCATCCTGGACTCTTGTGTGCTGTTTGTTTGAGTTGCCGCTCTTCTGTGATGTGGAGTTTTTTGCTCGAGGGTCACGGGCAAGCTTGTGGCACCCCTCATTGGATGAGCTACGACTTGTTGGCCACAATACATCTTCCGTCAAGAAGTGAGAGTCCGTAGGGACCACACGGCAGACGAGGCAAGAAGGACCGCTCTGACACAGTTGTTGGTCCAAGAACTTGGCTTCCACGCGATGACAGTGCATGTGTACTATGGCGCCTAAAAAATCACCTATACTATTGTGGGGGTTCCTTACGATAAGTATAGTATAATGGGACCCAAAACCCCATTCTAATTATGAAGGCCCCTCTATATATATATATATGTATATATACATATATATGTATATTACGTCCAGTGGACTTTCTGCTTCCACTCCAAGATGACATCCTAGACGCCGAGGTGCAAATCCTATGTGTTGCCACCTTGAATCTCCAGTTGTCGTCAGAGTGTGCCAAGGACGGACACTGCCCAGGCCCGCAACCGGCACCGATCTCGGATGAATTTCAGGGTTTGCAGGTTCAGGAGCCCACCATTGAATAAGTGGAGTTGGTGGGAGTATTTTTTTGTCAGGATATGGGCCATATGCAATATAGAAGCCTGAATAGTTATCATCATTATTCCTTAGGGTTCCTGATTACAACTAAGTTTATAAGATACAGTTTTGATCATAAAGGCCCCTATAGCAGGTGGTCTTGCTATTTCAGATCCCGAAACTCTCAAATCAAAATCCGGAATTGCGTGCTGAATCTCTGAATGACAAGCCACTACTCCCCTCTTCCCAGCTGACAAGGCACGGAATGTGGCACTGGGCGCTCGCGTACGTCCCTCGTGGCTGCGTGGGCAAGGCACCCACAACTACAGAAGTAGTAAAATATCATTCAACATTCTGTGATAAATGATATGATACAGTATGCACTCTAATACAACACAATATACTGCAAGACATGGGCTCGTTGTGAAGATGTTGAACCCAGCACAGAGACGGAAGGGTGCCGGGTTGCTGTATAGTCAAACTTCTCAGAATCGCAATGATAGAAATACCAGAAATAAGGGTATTAATGGCATTGGTACTACAAGACGTAGTCTGAAAATAACGGAAGTAATATAGTGAGCATAGTAATATACATGTAACGTGAGGAAGTGCGCACAGCCTGGCGTTCCTTGACGTGTCCAGCTCGCGAGTCTTGCATTGAGCTGTTGAGTCTGCGCATGGAACAGGTCCATGAATGCCGCGTCCATGTGAATTACCACGGCGCCTGGTCTGCAAGTCTGAAGGGTAGCTCCGTTCGCTCTGTTCACAGACCCTGGCCGTGCACCACTCAACTTCTTCGAATCGATGACTCACGGGTTAGTTAGGCACATGTTGGCATCAAGCTTGCATTAACAACAATGTCTTGAGAGAAACTTCGGACAACAAGCAAAGCCACTCTTGTGTTTGTCGTGTGCCTCGCCGGGGCTGCTCACAGGGCTCGCAATGGCGAAGCGCAGCGCTGTCATCCGGCCAGAGGTTAGAGAGAGACCGAAGATGCAAGCCTCGCAGAATTCAAAAAAGCAGCCAAGTTGTGGTCGCCGTTCCGACTTGAAAGAGGTTTCTGAGTGGTGTCAGAAGCACACCATGGATCCCACGAGTGGGCGGGTGCATCGCCGCGAGGAGACCAGGGGTGAGATCCTTGATGAACCTGTGGTGGCAGTTCATGAAGATGAAGCGCAGGAAGAAGAAATTGATGACGACATGAGGCATTTCAAAGAGACGATCGAGAACTGGGACATTCACACGGAGTCCTTCCCGCTCCCCATCCAGCCTGTGTGCCCGACTCTTCGGCCCGTAGAGGAGAGAAATGCAGACGACGAACCCTTTAGCATGTTCAGCCATGACATATTGGTCTACTGCTATGATGCGCCCGAACTGACTTATGACGAACACTTCAGCAAAGTGATTCCGGATCCCTGGCGCCTGCAGTTCTGGGTGCGTGGGAGAAACGAGTCCATCGCACTTCGTGGCTTGCATGACCAACCCGTAACCACTGGCTACATGTTGGAGACTCCGACGCAGCCTTCCAAGAAGTGTGAAGACTGGATGCGAGGTGGCTACTCCATTTCGGGCTTTGCAAGTCCATGGGCGCAATTTATCGTCACGCACTCGGTTGACACAACAGTGATCTGGCGACTGGACCATTTGTGGCAGGTTGCAGAAGCAGCTCCTGAGGGATGCAAGCAGGATCCACAAAAACCGTTGGACATCCGTCAGACGAAAGAAAGTCCGTCGCAGCTGTCGGAATGCAGAGCGGAGCTTTGGCTGAAGAACTCGGAAGGCATGTATCCGGTCCGGCGGGACGAAGCCGAAGCATGCTTCGCCATCGTAGGGGAGTACTTGCCGGGGCGTCGACATCCAGGATACCGTCCTGACGATTTCAACGGGGGGGTTGTCCTGAAGATAGACAGCTGTGGCCTGCTTGTACTCACTGTCGCTCGCGGCCCCGATATTCATGTCTATGCCATCAGCCCCTTAGTAGCTGAGTGGATACTCTTCACACTTTTTGGGATAATAAAAACCCACTATAAAACTAACAGTGTGCACTTATTTTGGGGGGGGCCTCATGAACTCAGCAACTAAGGCCCCAACTACCTGGATGTCGTGCCCGTGTCGGTAGTTGACACAGTCACCTTCAGCCTCGACTCTTCCCTGGAGTCTGGGCTCTTGCTAAGGGGCTTAATTTAAAATACCAAAATAGGGATCTATAGTAAATAATGTGGCTTCCTTATTATGGTACCTTAAGTTAAATAGGCTTTATTGTTTTGTGTAGATCTCTACTATGGTACCTTAAGTCAAATTCCTTAGCAAGAACTCAGGAGTTGGTCTTCCCAAACGGCGGCTTTCTTCGCGGACTGTCGGCAAGATTGGAGGTCGATAGCGCAGCATCGACCTACACCGAAAACGATGTGCAGGAGAGTTTGGGGGTTCCTTATTATAAATGATAGTTCCCAATGTAGGAGCCTGAATAATTACCTCGATTATCTTGGGGGTTCATTATTATTATTAAAGGTATAATGGCCCCGAAACCCAATTCGAAGAATTAAGGCCCCTATATTACCCCGAAAACGATGTGCAGGAGAGCAAAGACTCTCCTTCAAGGGCGAAATCGCCAGGCACAACGTCAACTGGTCGGACCCCGCCTAGCGCGGCACAAGCTGCTGCTCCTGCGGACCCCTGGCCAAAGTCCAAGCCTCGCATTGGCCAGCATCAGGTGTGCACACCACGTGGTACCAACTTCCAAAGTGCCAACGCCGTAAGAGGGAGCTTGGCCCGTCAAGCCTCGTCTCGCAGTGCAGAGATCCCTGCATCTGGCCGAGTTCAAGTCTCACGCGTGGGAGTTCGCCCAGGCTACCAAAGAGATGCTCGGCTGGCCCTTGCCGAACGGGTGTCGGACAAGCAGCGGCAGTTCGCCAGCCAACGGAACAACAGCAAGACACAATCCACGTCGAGTACGAGACCGGTATCCACATTGGTGAGAGCTCGTTCCAATTCCCCGCGAGGGCTTGGTGGAGAAACTCCACGCAAGAGCACCGGGCCTGCAGCAAGCCACAGCAGAATCCGGGAGAACGTAGTTCGGAGCAAGCGCTTAGTCACAAACCTCTCGAGTGGCAGCCCCACAGGCCCGCCAAGCCCGACAAGCGCGGCGAAAGCAGAGGCTCGAGATATGAAGGCGGCAACGGAAGGAGTCCGACTGCGCAGCCGATCGGTCTCCGCTGACAGCGTTGACCGCCGTGGACGGGCCGTGTCCAAGAAGCCCGTGGAAACGCCTTCACGGCCAAAGTCAATCGAGCCCACCGGTGTGAATCGCGTTAGTACATCCGACTCCAGCAGCTATGTGCCTCCTCCGCACACATCCCACCATGCAATGCCGGCAGTCTTGAGGCAGCACACTCCCGGCGTTCCATCCCAGAGATTCACCGTTGCAACGCCGAGCGGCCGCTGGAACTCAATTGCGGTGCAAGTGAGCCAGCAACGGCTTCAGGGTCTTTCCTCGTGGCCAAGTGTTTGGGTACCACCAGTCGTGCCAGCAGCGCAACCAGTGGTCCCAGTGCCGGGGCACGTTCCAACATCAATGGCAATGGTCAGCCGCAGTTTAGTGGGGCATCACTTGGAGCAGTCGAGGTCGGGCTGTGCTACAGCGGGAACAGGGTACTCCGCCACCACAAGTCATTCCAGAATGATGTCATGGACCCATGGATGGCCTGTGTCGCGCTGATGCCAGGATGCGAGTGCGATCGAAAAATTGACATCATAGATGCAGATGTGTTGCTCTTCACGGTTGATTTTGCAGAAAGTCCGAGTGAGCATTTCCTTTACTAGCTGCTGCCGATGTCCTTCTGTCTTGGCCACCATGACTTTCTCTGACGGTGTCTGTGACCATGATGCTGGTAATGCTGGTAAGTCGTAAATGAGTCCACACTTGCGGCATGTTTTCGCTCCGTTTTGGTTGTACTAAGTGCATCCCAAAACCGAAACCCTATTCTAATCATTATGCGAGTTTGTGTTTGAGGATGCATTCGGAAAACTCTCCAGCGCCGGCGGCTGTGGGCTACTTGGCTCGATTGCAAGAGGCAGCGGAGAATCCAAAGCACGGAGCCTGCCTGATGTAGGAGCCTATAAACAATTACCAATACTATTTGGGGGTTCCTTGTTATAGTTATAGTACAACATACCGCGAAACCATAGTCTAATGAAGGCCCCTATACATTCAACCCTACAGCCTTCAGGCGTGCTCCATCTTGGGGAGACCTCAGATCTACCGATGCCCCTAAACTTGGGTCCCAGTAGTACCCTTTTGCCCTTCTCTGGAAAGTTCCCGAATTACCAAATAGAGGAAACACGGTACCCTTATGATTAAGGGGCTACTGGGGAAGCTAGCAAAAGAAGATTCTTAAGGCTTCTTCGATCGACCTCAATGAGTACGGCGAGGCCAATAACATCGTGATGCTCTACCCTCAGGCCCTCGGTGGCTTCTTAGTGTTTAGGTTTTAGGTTGTTTAGGGTTTAGGGTTGAGGGCTTCACAGTTCCGATCTTTACGACTTCAGGGTCTCTTGCTGTGAGGGCGTAGGCTACAAGCTGGGCTTGAGGCGGCTTCCAATGGAGATACATACCCAGACACGCCGCGGTGAGAGCAAAGAATTACGCATGAATTTGGTGGTTCTTAGATTCTTTCTTCAATGCAGGCTAGCCACAAGTTCATAAAGCTTGCCTGCATGACATTGAGTCTGGCGCTTTGCCCCAACTGCTTCGCAGTGCCGGCCCACCGACTGCTACGTTGACATGTGCCGTGCCTGACATCATAAATATCAGGGCCTTTCTACATAACGACTACCTGCGTGGGTGTTCCTTATTATAAGTATAGAAGAGTATAATGGTCCCCAAAACCCTATTCTAGTTATTAGGGCAACTACAGTACAGAGCATGCTGCTTTGGTCCGGCCATTGTCGCAGAGCAGTTGCGGGAGGCGGCCGGCAGCGACGAAGTTGGCATTGGCTGCTGGTAACCCCGGCATATTCAGCTGTGACTCTGTCTTAAAGGACTCTCCGTACCCTTGGGAGCCCTGAGACCCTGAGACCCGGGAGCCCTGAGTCCCTATCCTTGGGAGCCCTGAAGCTCTAAGTACCCTAAGCTCTTGTGTAGGAACTGGGGAGACGACTCAGTGGATCCGCAGTTCGACACCAGGTTGCAGGGCACTCGGAGAGCTTGTTGCAGTTCTGGACACCTTGCCGCCTGACATCCGAAGCCCAGTTGAAGGTGTAGGGTTCAGGGTGGGGAAGGATTTTCGGGGCAGTTGCGCAAGAAGCTGTGGGAGTTCAGGATCCTTGCAATCTCTCATGTCGGACGCAAAAGAGATAGAAAGCTGCCAAGGTCGTACCAGTTGCGCACGGTCATGAACATGCTCTCAGACCTTGAGAATGCCCTCGCAGAGGCAGACCTATTGTATCCGGAGGCTCGGCACGACCTGCTGAAGTCTAGTATAAAGGTCGGAAGTATTGTCCCTACATAGTTAGACGATATAAGATACGATACTCCAAACCCCGATTGTGCTTCTTAACGCCCCAGTTGTTGTTGTCGTTCCCAGGCGCTACGGAGGATGAGAATTCGAGTGTCTAGTGGAGTGCATCACGCCTTCTGTAGCAGAATGCTGCTAGCTGCCAGCCTTTCAAAGATATTCTCTCACCTCAGTACGGCAATATTAAGCCCTTATGGCCCTTTAAACCCTGTATACAATCCGTAATTGTAGCCGTGCCTTACATGGCTTTTGTTGCTATCTTTGCACATCTCTGCTCCCGAAGATGCCTTTCGTTGCCAGCCTGCGTGCCAGGAGCCTGCCAGGCATTTCGCCGAGCCAGATGCATCCCACGTGCCAACAATTATGGCTTAGGATTTGAGGGGATTGACATTCCTCGTGATTCACGAATTTCGGGAATCTACGATGATAGTTTCAGAGATTCTCCTTTTATAGGCGTGGTTGTCTCAAGCAGGCATACCAACTCAGGCAGCTTTTGTTGGCACTTAGCAGGGCGTTGTCGCGACCAAAACGGCACGATCGTTTCGTTTCACGCACCCTCAACCCTCAACCCTCAACCCCAAACCCTAAAACCTAAACTAAACCCCTGAACCTAGCAACACCTCAAACCCTAAACCCTGTTTGAGAGCCTCCCGCTTTGATGGAGCCCCCAGGCCTCGCTAGCCCACTGTGGGACCTCATAGCAGCCGACGGACGTATTCATACGGGGGCCTTCATAATTAGACAACGGTTTAGGGGTCCAGTATACTATAAGTATTCAAAAATTAACCCCAGAAACAGTATTGGTAATCATTTAGACCCCTACGTTAATTTTTTTCCGGGGTAACTTGAAGGGTTCCTGTCGGGGTTCTAGAAGGGTCTAGGGCTTCGGGGGTTTAGGAACTACTGTTCATGGGGGCTGGCGTCTATTCGGATGTTTGGCCTTTTCCTGGTTGTTGAAGTTACGGCTACGCAGCTTTAGGCACACTTGATTCCGCAGGATTACATATGGGAGCCATTCACAGCTATTCAGTTATGCCTCAACATACACCAAAACCCTCTGCAAATCATAAGGGCCCTTGTACAGTAATTTGTTCAAAAATGATCACATACCACAAAAACCCAATAATTTTCCAGGCCTGATGGTGGCTGCTATGTTCAGTGCCGTGCTAGCTTTCTCTGCCACGAGCTTGTCTTCTGTGAAGGTGACTTCCTGCATTACATTACGATATTCACCGTTGTTGCAAGGGCTCTCTCGTAGGTCTTGTTAGTGTGTTGTTGTGGTGTCCTACATACTACATTACATGTAGCGGAAATAGCGAAAACATGCACTTCTTTTGCGCGGAAGAAGCCCGTGGCGGATGGGCTCATGATTTTCCAAGCCCTTGCTTCCCGTGATTGGCGGGACTGCGGCATGCCTAGAGTCGGCATAGAGCCTTCAGTCGGGAGTGATGGGAGTTTCCGAAAATTAGGGGTACCTGATTATGGGGTCCTTATAATGAGGATCCTACTATTTAGGGGTACTATATTAGAATCCCCTATTTTCAGAAACTCCCTGATGGTGTCTCTTCACGAGCCCAACATCCTCTTCATGGCTCGACAACAAGTTGCTCTTGAAGCTAAGCTTCCAAGTGAGAGTGAGAACCTGAATAATCAACAGAGTCAAGTGTCCCTATATGCACATGAAAACTCGTTACTAAGTCCTTCTGCTGCTGGTGTAAGAAGTCTCCCTCACATTGAGGGATGGCTCTCGGGATTCCACAGCGCGGCCGCGTTCGGGGATCTGGGTCTGGCTGCTTTTGTTTACGCTGCGGATGGTCGCATTGCATGGAGGTCTTGCGTGTTCCACATGCTGTCCAAGGAAATGAAAGCTTCCTATCTACGGTTTAATAGCAATACTAATACAAGTGCCTTAATATTACCTCTATTTTTTGTGGGTTCCTTAATATAAGTCTACTATAATGGGCCCGAAAACCTATTGAAATTATCAAGGCCTCCATATTGGTTCCTTGGGACATGGACCTCAAAGAGCTACCTCCGCCCCATGCGCATCCTGTCGCGAAGCTATGCGAAACAGCATCAAAATGTTTTGGCCGCGCAGCTTTCTGACGGTTGCTTGCAAATCATAATTAAGTTTTTGAGATGGACCTTCAGCGCCTTGTAGAGAAATCTCATGCTTCAGTACGTGGTGTTAGGCTGTCATATTGCATGACCGCCTATTCTGAAGGTTTAGCTGCATGCACTGTGCCGGCACACTGAGATTGAATCTCTCCGATGGCTCAAGGATTCGTTCAGCACATGTTACGTTGGCATTGTACAGGAGTGCCAAGCCGGATTGTGAACCGGGTCTCCGAGAAATCAACTTTCAAACAACAAACCAAGTAGCTTCGAGCACGTGGCGTTTGTGGGTGTGCCTCGTGTGGGGCCAAAACACGCAAGTCTTGTGCAAGGCTGTGGAAGAAGGGCTCCTAACGTAAGAATGGTTGGATGAGGTTTCTGGCGAGCTTTGCATTTATCTTCCAGCATGGGCCTTTTTCGATGCCGTTGAAAGCTCCCCGAAAAACGAGCTTCTCCTAATTTCTGGCTTATCCATAAAAGCAGAAGATGTCCTTGGGCTTGTCAGGCCCAGGCCGCTCGGAACGCTAGGCACATCGGAGCGGACGCACATCCCTTGCTTTGTGCAGCACTGCTGGCTGGCGGTGGGGATCCGGAAAGCTGCGGCTTTCGCCGGGCTGCCGATGGCGAAGCACAGCTCATCTGGCGAAAGGTCTGCCGGCTGACCTCTCTGGGCAGCGAGCACCGGAGGATGCCTGCATCTCAGAACGCGAGGAAGCAGCAGGCCCGCTGGAGTCCAAGACGATGCTGACTTGAGGCGACAGGCCGCAGACGATGCCCGGCCCGCTCCGAGAACGGCTGCAGGCATGTCTGCCTGCATGCATGCATGTATGCATATATGTATGTATGTTTTTTGTCCTGTCTGTAGGTAACTATGTTTGTATGCCCGTTTGTGTGTCCGTCTGTCTGTCTAAGGTGGTTAAGTTAAGTACAGTGAAATTAAGTAAAGATTGTCATTGTGGTCAACAAGAAGGCAGGCAAGCCATCAAGCCAGCAAGCCAGCTGAGTGAGTGAGTGATATGAGTAGGTAAGTGAGGCAATATGTTTGTCATTGTATGATAGCTGTGTTGTATGTGTGGTAAGCAATGCTTAGCTTGTTACTCCATTGCTGCTCCAGTCGAAGACAATGACAGCGATGGAGTGCTGGCTCGAAGCCCCGTTCAGACCAGTCGAGTCCAGTTTGGTACAGCTCCCGTCACGTGTTCACGGGTCCTTCGTCGGATAATAGCAGGGCATTGTGATTCTATGGCTTCAGATAAAAGTCGTATGACCCTAATACCTAAACCCTTTGTACCGTTTGTTGTTTGTCCGAGCAGGAATTCCGGAGATACTGTGCAGCAATTCGATCGCTGCTTGGCGCGCGACTCGGACTCGGAAGGAAGGGTAGCTGAATGCGTTCTCTTCCAGGACCCTGAGCATTTATACATTAAAACTCTTCGATGGCTCAAGGATTGGTTCGACAGGTGTTGGCATCATTCCCTGATTGTTGACACACGGTCGTGAGCTCGTGTGTTTGTCGCGGTGCCCCGACAGCTCGACAGCCTCTCGCAGGGCGTGCCATGGCGAAGCACAGCTCTCTTATCCGACCAGAGGTCAGCCCGCCACTGCCGGTGCTGATGGGCAGTCGCCGAAATTCCGCCTTAAAAGAGGCTTCGGAGTGGTGCCAGAAGCATTCCAGGTTGCATCACCGCGAGAAGGACAGGAGTGAGATCCTTGATGAACCTGTGGTGGCGGTTCATGAAGATGAAGCACAGGAAGAAGAAGAAATTAATGACGACATGAGCCGGTTCAAAAGGAGCATCGAGAACTGGAGCACTCTCACGGAGTCTTCCCCGCTCCCCATCCAGCCTTTTTTGCCGACTTTATGCACAATCCCTGAAGATGCGCCGGAATTGAGCGAAGACGACAAGCTCGACAAGCCGTCCTGCATCTTCAGCGAGGACGACATTCTGGTCCACTGCTTTGGCTGCTATGACGACGAGCACTTCAACATGACTCCGGTTCCCTGGCGTCTGCAAATCTGGGTGCGAGGGAGCAAGGACTCTATCGCAGTTCGCGGGTTGCATGAGCAACCGATTTTAAGTGGTGGCATCTTACAAACTCCCATGTCCCCTTCCAAGCAGTGCCAGTGCTGGATGCGGGAGCATGGCCTCCCCGCATCGGGTTTCGTCGGCTCCGCGCCCTTCCTCGTCACGCACTCGCTTGACACAACGGTGATCTGGCGACTGGACCGTTTATGGCGGGTTGCAGAAGCAGCTGCCAGGGCCACTAGGGGCTGCAAGCAGGATCCCCCAAAACCGCTGGACATCCGTCAGACGAAAGAAAGTCCGTCGCAGCTGTCGGAATGCAGAGCGGAGCTCTGGCTGAAGAACTCGGAAGGCATGTATCCGGTCCGGCGGGACGAAGCCGAAGCATGCTTCGCCATCGTGGGGGAGTACTTGCCGGGGCGTCGACATCCAGGATACCGCCCTGACGATTTCAACGGAGGGGTTGTCTTGAAGATAGACAGCAGTGGCCTGCTTGTACTTACTGTCGCTCGCGGCCCCGATATTCATGTCTATGCCATCAGCCCCAACTGCCTGGATGTCGTGCCGGTGTCGGTAGTTGACGTCACCTTCAGCCTCGACTCTTCCCTTGAGTTGGTCTTCCCAATGGAGTGCAGCCGTTTTCGCGGATTGAGGGCCAGGTTAGAGTCAGAGCCGCAGAGCGCGAGCTCGCCCTCCGCGGAACAGGACGGGCAGAAGCCGAGGAAGAGCAAAGACTCTCCTGCAAGGGCGAAATCACGAAGCGCGACTTTGGCAAGTTCGGAACCCAGGGCAGCGGCGAAGATGCACATTGAAAAGCACCAGGTCTGCACACCCCGCGGCGGCCCCCACAGTACGAAGATCGGAACTGGGAGCCCTAGCCGCCCTAGCCCTAGCCGTGAGGCCTGGTCGCGAAGTTCGGTGCTTCCTGCATCTGGCCGAATTCAAGTCCCAGCTATAGGTGTTCGTGCAGGGTACCAAAGAGATGCTCGGCGGCCGGCCTTTGCCGTTCGAATCCCGGACAAGCAGCGGCCGCTTGCCAGCCAAGGGAACAGTAACAGCAGAACAACCGCATGTCAATGTGTGAGACCGGCATCGGCACCGGATGCCCCGGTGAGAGCTTGCTCCAACGCCCCGAGGGGGCATCGTGGAGAACATCCACGAAAGAGCACAGGGCCGGGGCCCATGGCAAGCCACGGCAGAAGCCGCCCGACCGGAGCTCGAAGCGAGCCTTCA